CATCATCAGATTTTCACACAAGTCCTAAAAGTAGATAAAGAGAACCTAGTTAAACAAATGAGACAAAAATATTATACATGATACTAATAATATACTGTACAGAACATCTTCAGCTTTGGATGTTGGTGGTTTCCTCACATGAACTGCTGCTTCAGATCCTTCCACAACATCTGGATTGGATTAAAGTCAGGACTTTGACTTGATCATTCCAAAACGTGAACTTTATTCTTCTTGAACCATTTTTTGTTAGAATCACGCGTGCGTTTAGGGTCATTGTGTTGCTGCATGACCCACCTTCTCTTGAGATTCAATTCATGGACAGATGTTCTGACTTTTTCTTTTAGAATTCTCTGATATAATTCAGAAGTCATTGTTCCATCAATGCTGACAAGCCGTCCTGGCCCAGATTCAGCAAAACAGGTCCAAACCATGATTCTTCCACCACCATGTTTCACAGATGGGATAAGGTTCTTCAGCAGGAATACAGAGTTTTCCTTTCTCCAACCATAACACTTTTCATTTGAACCAAAACATTTATTTTGGTCTCATCAGTCCACAAAACATTCTTCCAACAACCTTCTGGCTTGTCCACATGATCTATGGCAAACTGCAGACGAGCAGTGATGCTCTTTTTGGAGAGCAGTGCTTTTTTATTCAACCCTGCCATGCACACCATTGTTGTTCAGAGTTCTCCTGATGGTGGACTCATGAACATTAACATCAGTCAATGTGAGAGAGACCTTCGGTTGTTAGAAGTTACCTTGGGGTCCTTTGTGACCTCGCCGACTATTCCACGCCTTGTTCTTGAAGTGATCTTTGTTGGTCAACCACTCTGGGGAGGGTACCTTAGGGTAACTTAGCAGATGTTTGAGGCCACTTAGAGAGGTCAAGATCGAGCACTTCATATATTTTTGTAAGATATTCCAGGAAACAGGAGCGGAGTGGGAGAAGGCCCTTTTGCCAAGTTCAGTCCTCACAGAGGGAACACTGCAGGTAATAATGTCCTGAGAGCGCACGCTGTAGCTGCACTCATGCAGTGACATATAGGAGATGTTTGAAGGCAACAGACCAAGAAGTGATTTAAAGATGAAAATGTACCAGTGAGAGAGTCTGCATGAAGTTAACGATATCCAGTTAACCAGTGAATATAGGGTGCAGTGGTGGGTACGGTAGTTACATCCAGTTATGAATCTTAGTGCAACGTGATAGACAGCATCCAACATCTGCAGGGTGCTTGTAGGGGCATTCTTTCGTGCTGCTATTGTTAGGCGTATTGTTTTTGTACTACTAGTGCTTAGTGTATTCTTAGTTTTAACATATTTCTTAGTTCATATCTTGAATCTTGTTACTGTTTTTCTCTACAATGTATACTTTTGTTGGATGTAACTGGGACCCTGTGTACACAATTTTGTTCCACCACATGTACCACATGTGGTGTGAATGACAATAAAGAACCGTGACTTGACTTGATTCATGTACCGTAAATAATGTCACCATAGTCAATGGAGGGAAGGAAAGTCACAGTTACAAGCCGTTTCCTAGCGTTCAAAGTTAGACAGGATCTATTTCTGAAAAAGAAACCCAGTTTAACTTTCAGTTTCTTTACCAAGTTTTCCACGTGAAGCTTAAAAGAGAGATGCAAATCGACCAAGATACACAAATATTTGTAGGAATCGACAAACTCAATAGGAGCACCATTCGAGCATAAAATAGAAGGAAGAACTGCTGGGACCGACTTCCTGTTTGAAAACAACATCTCTGGTTTTGTCTGCGTTTAGGACAAGTTTGAGATGGAACAAATCTGAATGGATGATGTCGAAAGTGGATTGCAAAAGCTGGAAAATCTTAGCAACTGTTTTAGCTCGACAATAAACAACTGTGTCATCAGCATAGAAATGTATGGATGCATCAGGGATGCTCTGACCTATAATACTTATGTAGATTGTAAAGATGGTTGGTCCTAAGACTGAGCCCTGTGGTACACCATTGTTAGCCATTAAATAACTGGAAGAAGTACCATTATGTTACAAAATATTATATATCAAAAATATAAAGTGTAAAAAGAAACAGTATACAAGGATCTAAGATATACAGTACACTAAGATAAATGCTAAATGAATGTGAAACTGTACGCTGAAAAATCTAAGATATACGCTAAACACTAATAATGTAAAGCAATACGGCGCAACAACAGCAGCCCATGGGTATGAATGAATACAGCAGCATGAGATCAGAAGCATGGATAATCAGCAGCACAGATAAATCACATATCACCAATTAAAGTGGCATTAAAGTGATTATCCTGGTTAGAGATTCATGAGTCTAACAGCCTCAGGGTAGAAGCTGTTCCTCAGTCTAGTGGTTCTACACTTAATGCTCCTCAACCTCCTGCCTGAGGGGAGCGGGACAAAAAGTGTGTGTGCTGGGTGAGTGGGGTCCTTCAAGATGCAGGTGGCCCTCTTCCTGCATCTGGAGGTGTAAATGTCTGTGAATGTGGGGAGACCAACTCCAACAGTCTTCTGTACAGCCTTCACCACTTTCTGCAGAACTTTTCTTTCTGCAGCTGTGCAGCCTCCATGCCACATGTTGATGCTGGAGCACAGGATGTTCTCCACTGCACACCTGTAGAAGGAGGTGTGGTATATAAAGGTTATACCTTCATATTTTTTATTTCCAAGATCAGAAATGGTGCTTTTAAAGAGAACATAATAATTAACACAAAGTAAACGGTAGCCATGTGATGTGTACTTATGTCGTATAAATAGCTCCTTCTCATAGTGGATCAACCAGTTTGCTGATCCACTACAAAAATGAACAAAATGTTTCTATTTTTTTTCTTTTGGTTTGTTTTTTGAACGTCCAGAGGACCAGACTTAACTTTTTTAGATTTTTCTACCTGGATTATTGAGCATGCATCAGGATATTTTTTGTTATCATTCTCATAATGGACAGACATTTATGGCATAATCACTAAATTACAGACAATCCCCCCCCCCCCCCCCAGAATCTAGTAGATTAAAAGATATGGATTTAAATTGTTACTATTATGGTTCACGAACAAAGAACCACACATCATCATTGACCTTTACTTCATAATCCAGTTTAATAACGAATGAAGACTTAAAACTGAAAGATATTGCTGAAATTCTGTGTTCGTCTGTCTCTCCTTCCTGTCCTCTCAACCAGCCGGTCAAAGCAGATGGCTGCTTGTCCTGAGCCTGGTTCTGCTGGAGGTTTCTTCCTCTAAAAGGGAGGTTTTCCTTTCCACTGTTGCCACTGTGCTTGCTCAGGATGGGAGACTGCAACGAAGCCAAGATTCAACTTGTCTGCTGGATTCCTTAGATAGAGAACTTTACTAATTGGCTTTTATGTTTGTGAATGTTTCTGTAAAGTGCTCTGAGACAACTTTGTTGTGATTTGGTGCTATATAAATAAACTGAATTGAATTGAATTGAAAGACCTACTCTTACACACACACACACACACACACTTGGTCCACTCTGCATGTACGACCTTTTTGACAGCATCTAGATTTTATAAAGTGCTGTCTCATTCACGCTGTTTACACAAAAGAGCTTTGACGTGGAACAGGACTGGAGCTCAAACTCACACCCTCCAGTTAGAAGATGATTCTTCTACTCCATATGCAGCCTCTCATCCTCCACCCTCGTATTTATTTACATGGCTGCCAAATGTTCCTGCAAAGTGTTGTTAGATATAATAATCTGTTTCTGACTGAAAGGATGCTGCAGGAAAACAATGAAGCTTCTATTCTGAGAACTTTACCGACAGCTAATGGAATCAACAGTGTCTGTCTCATGAACCACTGAACAGCTTTTAATGAAACATTCAGGAAGTAATCATTTGGTTGACATCTACAGCTGGTTTCCATTCAGACTCATCCAGTTCAAGATGGCTGTCCCAGTAAACACAAAAATGGCTATAACACAGCCAGTTTTACAGATGTTGAGCTGAAATTTGATGTAGTAATAACTGAGCTTTGTCCCTGAAACATATTATGAGTACAACTCACTGTGTCACACCTTTGCTCTAAAACTTTGGGATTAACTGTTGTAGTTAACCCAGTTTGTCTGTTAGCAAATTAAATCTTAAACCACTGAATGAATTTCAGTCAAACTTTGAGAAAGTCATTATTGTCTGAACATTTACAGCTGATCAACTGTTGAAATCATTCCCATTCAGGATGACTGCCACCGCTCATCAACTTGAGACTGCACAAAAATGCCTATATCTTAGTAAGACAGTTACTGAGACAAAGTCTGGTGCGGAAGTGGCTGACAGTCATTCACAACATGTAACAAGTGCTTCCAGATCACGCAACATATTGCAGAAGATCATGTTATTTGTAAAGTTTGACCAAAACGGCTACGACGACGCCATTTCTCAGCCTGAGATGATCTTTGTCTAAAACCCCGGCATAAAAAGCAACGGATGTTGTGCCACTGATTGCAAACAGTTAAGTTATTCTTGTCATGGCTTCAGTCTGCAGAAGAAAAATCAGGTTCAAAATAAAACTTGAGCTTTTTAGGCGTCCCCAACAGAGAAACACAAAACTAAAGGGCCACATTCAGACAGGGATAACAAAGAATCAAACTAAACCCTTAAACTTTGATCATTTTATCATATCAGCTGTGGAATGACAGTCCTGCTTTAACACATACAGGTGCCCAAGACTTCAGGTCTGCAAAGACTGGGAAAACATGGACAATACTTGGACTTACTGCCCCCTGCTGGTTAATCTGAGCCCTAATCTAAACTGTGCTGCTACTGAGGAGGGAGCACAGAGTTGGGCGAGGTTGTAGAAAATTCCCTTTCAAGCTTAACTAAATGACACAGAAAAGGGAAATATACAGTCTTCCTAACAGAGAGGATTTTCTTTGAAACTACAGCAGCACTAAAGACCGACAGGTCTAAAAAAAAAACAACCTGTTCTTGTTTCTTACATGATTTAACCTTTGCTTTCGCTTCTCTGTTGACAGGTCAGACGTCTCCTGTGAAATCACTAAAACCTGTAAGTTCAACTTTGTTTTTCTTCGTTGCTGTAAGTGAACGTGTGGTTTAATGAAAGTGATGACAAACGTGCTGCTGGATTATTAAAGTGAACAGCTTTACTTCTGTCACCGATGTTGGGTGAAGCTGCTGTTCGCTGCATTATTCAGGAAGCCCACATTAGGCGGCGCCTTTTTTCTGGAGCTGCGTTTGGGTAAATACACCGGCTCTGTGCAAACAGCAACTTGACATCCCTCTGTGTTTGGGTGTGTAAGATGATACACTATGTTCAACAACTTGTCCCTGAACTGTTCCTCCATGCTGCGCTTTGAAAACAGAGGAGCTGAGGCCCAGACAGGCTTCCTCCTACTGTTCTGTTGCTGAAACACGATGTTCTTCACCTTTGGATGGACTATTTTAAAGACCTTCTATCATGCAAAGTAAATCCATCTGAAATGTTTATTGCGTCCTTGCCGCTGTAGACACAAATCACTGAGACAGAATATTTATTAAGGGTGCCGGTGTAGCACGCTCATTAGTATTCACCTGTTATTCTTCATTCTCCATCACAATTTTTGATTTGCTGCTCCTGCTGCTTTAGAAAAGGCCCCAACAAAAACCCGACATCAGACCATGCAGCTCAATCAGGAACAGTTATCTTTGAATTTTGGTAGCGATACATCACATGGCATAGATGAAATGTTCAGCAAAAACAACTTTTAAAAGTTTCTCTGTACATAAAATGGGTTTTAGGCCAAACAAGTGAGAAAGACGGGCCCTGTTTGGACCTCAACAGCTCAGGTACTTACGGCTGAAATATCGGTTAAGAGGGGTCACAGAAACTTTGACTTTACATGACTGAACCACTATTTTGATATAGTTAACATTTTCTTACACAACAACAAAGATTTATGATCGTTGAAGATTTTTACACAAAATGGTCAACTTGCCTGACTTATTGAGAGTGCTATCAGGGAGTGAGGGACATGTGGTTACCATGGCGATTCTGCTGAGCAGCTAGCTGCAGCTTTTGCTCGTGGTTAGTTGTCCTCTGTTGTAGTGCGGAGGTGTAATTAGAAAACCCGTCTGTCTGTGCATGTTTTGAGCACATATATCATGCCATCCTGGTTATTTGTGAAATCTATGCTTTCTAGTTTTCATATTGCTTAACTCTATTGTTTCCTCAAATGACTGAGGTGGTCCAAGGTTAATCTATGGTGGCCAAGGCCACCATTGACCACCCCCTGACTCCATTGTTGTACCTGGTGGTGGATATAATTGCTCCCTCTCCTCACCAGAATCAGTCACTCTGTGCTGCCTCAGACAAGCAAAAAATAAGTAAATAAACTACTCTGTTCTCCACAGTGTAACTCCTTCTCACTTGAATATCTTGCATGAAAAACATTAAGGTTTACTAACAGTCCCTGTTCAGCTCCAGTCCAGAAAAACACTCATCTTGAAAACCCTCAAACATGGACTGTTCAAGCCCCTCAGCGACAGGAGACAACAGCGTACCACTTGTTTATGAACATGTTGCTGATGTTGATATTGTGTTCAACTGTTCCTAGAAAGTCAACGTTCTGATTCTTTGCCTTGTAAGAATTGACGGGTTTCATGAAGACACTGTTATATCATCAGTTAGGTACTCAGCTGAAGATATTTGAGGGGTTTTTTCTCATGTCTGTGTGTGAAAGAAGTGTTGAGTCTAGTAAAAAGGCTGAAGTTACTGATATAAAGCCTTTAGGGTTTAATGGAGAAACAGATAACTGAGCCCCTCTAGCATCGCCCCCTTGCTTGTGGTTTTGATTCATCCTTGTTCAACGTTTGCCTTGTTTTCATTCACCTGAGGTCACATACTAACCAGCTGTTTCCCCCTCCCTCTGGTTCCTGCTGTGAAGTGCACGGCTCCCATGTCCCACACCGGGTCCCAGCCCAGCCTCCACCAGACTCCTCACGCTGTCTCCCAGCAGCTGTCCCACCCGTCCTCCCAGCCCACCGTCCAGCAGCAGAGGCAGGACATGGCAGACAGCACAGAGACCCTCAGTGAGCAGGAGGCGCTCCCTGTTTCTGCCAGCGGCCTGCGCTCAACTTCACCCAAACCGGACCCGTCTGAGCTCTACCTCAAGTCCAAAGCATTGCTGGACAGCAGGCGTAAGGGACAGCAGCTTTATTAGCTTTATCACCTGCCAATCACTTCTGACATTAACTTACCACACTTTGTCCCTGTTAAAAGTATTTTCATCACCTGCTGCCAACAGGCAGACAATGATAATGATTTGGCAGTTGTATATCTGTCTGTTAGCGAAATAACTCATGAACCACTGAGTAAATTGTAATAAAACTTTCAGAAAATAATCAGTGGATGTACATCTATTAATGATTAACATTAAAAGTCTGTTTGATTCAAGATGGCCGACACACCCAACCGAACTTAAAATGCACAAAATGTCTATAATGCGATCAGTTTTACAGATATTGAGCTAAAATTTGGTGTGGTTGTAGCTGACAGTGATCCGTAACACATATTCTGATCGCTAACAGATTGCACAAGATCTTTATTTACAATTTTCACCTATTAAATTATTTCTGTTGGCAAAACAGCTCATGAGCAGTCATCAGATTTAAACAGAACAGTCTGAAATAATAATCGAAAAAGCTTTTATAACCAATTCCTTTTGACTCAACCAAGTTCAAGATCTTTGGTAATTCTTTTGTCTTCCCTCTGATTCTGCAGAGATGAAAGTGTCTGTTTTCTAAATGATGGATTTTAACATTTTAATTGTGTTTTTCACTGAAGAAAACCTTTGGATTTTGAATGACCGTATTTCCCTTTTCCTCTTTGCAGCGCTGAACACCAAGGACCTGGACGTGTTCATCAAAAGAAATCAGGAGTCAGGGTTTGGCTTCAGAGTCCTGGGAGGAGAGGGTCCGGATCAGCCGGTGAGAAGCGGCTCCAGCTGAAATGAGCCACGGTTGCTGCTGTGACCCAATTCCTCAAACAGAACCAGCAGCAGTCAGACGCTCTGAGCTGCTGGGATGATCACATGCTTTGAGATGATAAACCAACAAAGAGCAGCTCGTGTCTTGTTGTCTGAATTCTATTATTTTATTTATTTATTTCATTTTTCTCTGATCTAACTACTGCAGCGTGTTTAGAGTTATTTTAGTCATTATTGTTGTTAAATATATAAATGATGATGATGATACTGTCAAAAATATGTTTCATGTTCAGACCGATGCTATGAATTATATTTTTTGAAACTTTTATCTTTTTTTTTTTATTAAACTTTATTTACAAATATTTTTCCCACAGAAAACCAGTGATGTCTCTTTAGTTCCCTAAGAACCATTGATGTCTGAAACCAGCTGAATATTTGTTCTGATTTTGGCTGCTGTTTGCTTTTAGCTTAGCTAGCATTCTGCTCCGTTCAGCTAACCTTTTTCTACTCTTAGCTTTTAGATAATTTTTTGGTGCTTTTGGCTTCTAGCTAGCATTTCAACCCATTTAGCTAATATTTTGCTACTTTTAGCTTGCAGCTAAAGTATGGCTAACATTTAGCTGTTTCTTTTGTACTATTAGGTTTTAGCTACCCTTATAATACTTTAACTCTTAGCCTGTTTTTGCTACTTGTAGTTAGCCTTTTCAATACTCAGCTTTTGGCTTATCTTTTGCTACTTTTACCTAAACTTTTACTGGTTTTAGTTAGTGTTTTTGATACATTTAGCTTTTAGCTAATGTTCTTTCTTTTAGCTTTATCAACTGAGTTTCACCTTTTTGAAGCAGACTCACTCTGGTTTTCTGTGGGATTGTTAGTTTTAGCTGTTTTCGCTCTGTGTTTGCCGTGATTCAGGTCAGTCTAACCTCCTCCTGCGCCCACAGGTGTACATCGGTGCGATCGTCCCACTGGGTGCAGCTGAGAAGGACGGGCGCCTGCGCGCCGGAGACGAGCTGCTTTGTATAGACGGCGTTCCCGTCAAGGGCAAATCCCACAAACAAGTGTTGGAACTGATGACCAATGCCGCCCGGAATGGCCAGGTTATGCTCACCGTCCGCAGGAAGATGGTTCACTCAGGTAGGCCTGCTTTCAGTCAGCTCTCCTTCTTCGCCCGAGGGTGCCTAAAGCTGCTTCTTCATATCCTCGTTTGGCTGCGATCAGGGAGCTGGAGGAGAACCTTGGAGAAAACGGCTTTGATGTGGGATTAACTCTGTAATGCTTTAAATTTTACTCTGGGTCATTTCCTTCTTGGAAAAAATTAGACTAAACCAGAGAAATGTAATTTCCTGTGAAAATACTGTGTGAATTGCTGAATGATTCTTTGCTGAAAGAAGCAGAAGAAGCTGCAACCTGCTGAAAAGGTTTCATCGCCAAACGAGTTGAATTTGAACAGCTGACATTTGCTGAAAGCAGAAAAATAAAAGCTGAAGGCAGAATAAAAATGGCAGAAATATAGCAGAATAAGCTGAAATAAGCAGAAAGAGACAGAAAAAATAAAAAAGTTGAAATTATTCAAAAGAATCACAAGGCAGATATGAGCAGAAAAGGACACTGGTAAATATTCTCAGTCATCCAGGACATAGTAAATTCAAAAAAGTTCAAGACAACAAACAACTGGACTTCATTTGAAACTTCTTCATATAAAGAATAACTGTTCTAGAATTGCGCCGGCCGCTCAAGGTGGCTGCATGTTGGAGCACTCTGAGATGTTGCTTTTGGAAACTTTAATTCCTCTTTTTCTGGATGTAAATCACATTTTTTGGATGATAGTTTCCTCTGGTATCAGATGCTGGAAGGATTTTTACTGAAACTTTTTTTAGTTTTGGACATTTGTTATGATTCGTCACCATGGCAACAAGGCAGTTTTCTACAACCAACAGCTGATTAACATCTCAAAAGCTCAAATAATATCTCAACTACAGCCCCAAATCTCTAAAGAGTTGAAAAGGATGTTATGTGGACGCATTCTCATCTACCTGCCAGCTGTGCTCGAGTGCCTGACCACTGAGATCCTGGAACTAGCAGGAAACATGGGTCATGACAGCAGAAGGACAGGATCGTCCCTCGGCACCTACAGTTGGCTGTCCGCAGCGACGAGGAGCTCGGCAGACTGCTGGGAGGAGTGGCCATCACTCTGGGAGGAGTTCTGCCCGGCATTTGGGCAGTCCTACAGCTCAGGGGAACCGAGAGGCCAGCCAAGTCTGAGTGGACGGATCGGACGGCATCTGCAGCCAGTTTCTTAGGATCCACTGTGGGATGGACCTTTACAAGAGATCCTACAGCCATCAGCATCTATAACGTCTCTTAATGAAATGAGGATAACGAGTTACAACAATAAATAATTTCCCTTGTGGATTAATAAAGTATTTTTGAATTGAATTGAATAAATAAATAAATAAATAAAGTCCAATAAGTCAAATAATAAGTCAAATAAAGTCCAGTTGTTTTTTTGTCTTGAACTTTTTTGAGCATAAAAAGTAGGTGAAAAGCATAAAATAGTTTAAATTAGCAGAAAAGCTGAAAGGAGCAGTAAAAAGCTGTAAACAGCTCAAAAGATGTGACGAGAGCTGCATTCATCTTCAAGGAGAAAAACATGGCCGAAAAGACTATTCATCTATTATCTTTACCCGCTTCTTCCTTTTGGGGTCGCGGGGGTCACTGGTGCCCATGCGTGTCCAGCTGTCACTGTGCGAGAGGCAGGGACACACTGGACAGTTCTCCAGTCCATCACAGGGACACACAGATACAAATGAGACAAACCAATTTAGAGTTACCAGTCAGACCAACATGCATGTTTTTGCTCTGTGTGAGAAAACTGGAGTACCCAGAGAAAACCCACGCATGCACGGAGAGAACATGCAAACTCCACCCAGAAAGGTCCCCGGCTGGGATTTGAACCAGGGTAACCTGCTCGCTGAGAGGCAGCAGCTCCACCAACTGCGCCACCGTGCTGCCCGCCGAAAAAGCTAAATATTTCTAAAGTAAAAATTGCACAAACGCCAAAAATATGACAAATAAAGAACCTTGAATCCTTAAAATATCAAACGTACAGAAGAAAAATGGATCTCAATAGAAACACACAAGATAAAAACTGACTGTATACAAAGTGGATATTTTTCTAACAAGAAAATGTGGAAAAGCTGATTTTTCTCTCCACTTAGAGAATGAAGTTGTTTTAATGTGAGGAGGAGGATTCTGTTTGTTGAGCAGCAGTGAAAGTGTTGAGCTCGTCTCTCCTGCTGCAGCCTCACAGACGCTCCACACTTAACTGCAGAAATGAGGCATCACTCTTGAAGGGTTCATGCTTTTTACAGCGCAGGAATAGAAAGAGTTTCCCTGGAGCAGTCCCATTAAAGACCAGCTCTGCAAAACAATAAAACAATAAGAGCAGATATGGGTAAAATGTCAGAATAACTTGCTTTAAAATGCATTCATGTTTAGTGTCAGTCAGACAAATAGAATATTTGCTCTGCTAAAGCTGCAGTTTTGGGGGCTTATTCACAGAACAGCCCCATGAACAAAAACTGGGAACGTTTTGGAACATTTGTGTGTCCGTGTATGTTCATGTGTCTGTTAGCAAAATATCTCATGAACCACAGGATGGATTTGGATGAAGCTTTCTTAAAGTCATCATTAGATGTTCTTCCACAGATGATTGTCTTTTGGAGTGAATATAAATCCAGATGGCCGCCACAGCCAGATGACTTTAGCAAACATAAAAATGACAATGAATGGGTCAGTTTTGCAGACACTGAGTAAAAATTGTATGTGGTGAAAGCTGAGAGTCATTTTTAACATATATTCCAAAAGCTAATAGATTGTTTGAAGTCTTTTTGTAAAACTTTGTCATTAACTGTTGGTCCACAGTGTCTGTCTGTTAGCAAAATATCCCATGAACCAGTGTTCAGGTATTGGTGAAACTCCCAGAAACGAATCATTGGATGTAACTCGACAATTGGTTAACTTTTGAAGTTGATCCTATTTCAAGATGCCCCCCACAGATAATTAGTGCTATCAACGCATCAATGGGTAAAACTCAGTCATTTTTTCAGATATTGAGCTAACATTTGGTGTGGTAGTAGCTGAGAGTCATCCTCTAAACATGCTTTAAGTGATAACAAATTACAGCAGCTCTTTATTTAAAACGTCGGCATGCAACACAGCAGGCCATAAAGATTTTTTCAAACAATGCTTTTAATTACTGTGTATTCAGAGGAGTGTCGTCCAAATCAACAAAGAAGCACAAACTCTTTAGAACCTGGTTCAGTGTGACCCTGACGTGTGTCCTGGTGCTGCATGTCGTTGTCAGATGATGGGGAGGAGGAGGACAGCAGCCAGCAGCAGGTAGCATCAGCTCTGGTCAACAGCTCTCCCAAGACGCCTCGCCTCGAGGCGCCGAACACCGCGCCGCCTGCTCACACCTCTCGGGCGGAGAGCTTCAACGTCACCCTGCAGCGCAAAGACCACGAGGGCTTCGGGTTTGTCATCCTCACGTCAAAGAACAAGCCCCCGCCTGGAGGTTAGCATGAAAACATTCCACTTCCTGTGGTCAGTCTGTACACTTCCTGGTAAGAAATGAAAGTTTCTCCTCTCTGGCCTGGAGGGCCATGAATGGCGCTGAATGTGCCGAACTTGTGATTAAAAACCTGATTAGCCTGCCACTCTCTGACGAGGCTGTCTAATATTAACACAACTGAAAATGATGTTTTCAGTAATTCTCCTGAGGGGGAAGCATCATCTGTGATTTGAGGGATTTGGATCTAATGAAGTACTTTGGATGGGCTCAGATATTACAATAACACAGGAGCAGTTCTGGAAGCAGGAAATGTTCGGAGGGGAAGGTTCAAACAGAGACCACTGACATGACACAAACTGAACTCACATTTTTCCTGCTGCCCCCCCATGGGGTATATACTATACATTTTTTCATGTACCATTAAAAAACATAATCTTTTATTATCTAATAACGTGTTTCCTTGTTTGTTTGTTTGTTTTTTCTTTCTTTGTCCTTTTTTTGTAAATTCAGATCTATGTGATTTATTGTTTTGGGCTTGAAGTGTAGACCTGAAGTTATTAATAAATGAGTCACGTTCATGATCATGACATCATGATCATCATACATCATCATCAGTGGATGTAAACTTCTGACCAGAACTTTATGTACACTCAGCAAAACGCACAATAATTTCTACACATCGATACATCTTTCTTCTATATTTCTCATTGTTTAAAAGGGGTGTAAAGATCAGAATCAGAATGTCAGAATAAGCTTTATTATCATTGTACTGAAATAGAGTGAGATTATGTTTGTACAATCGTCCAAAAGATGGGCGGAGTGCACGTTGCTGCTGCTCCTTGAAAGCATGGCCCCTTATTCTTTTTCAGAATATTTTTACATCAAAAATGGGAAAAGGCCATGACGATAGGATAGTAGTGTTACATAAAAGATCTCTTCACACCTTGTCCTATCAGGATACGATTTAAAACATCAAAAAACTCTACCAGCAGCACATTTATAGACACATTACATATTCATCTGATGGCAAGATGGTGAGATTTGTCCATGAAGCACTTCCAGATAGTACCATAGTTCCTTAGTTTACACATATTCCAGGAGAAATTTGATAAGTCGGCCTGCTTCGAGACCAAACGGGGGAGTCGGTTTCAGATAAGCCACAATTGTTGATTTTTTTCAGGCAGACTGTTTTTTTTCTCACCAGCCTTGAGTCCTGCTGGTATTTTCGATCCAAAATGCCCAGATTTGTGGGCATTCCACTGGTCCGTGCTTATGCGCCCCCTCCAAGGTCGTCTCCAACATGCTGGCGAGTCTCAGAGCTGCAGGTGGCCTGTGATTCTCACAAATTACTTCCATCTTACGGTTTAGCTCATAAATCAGCTGATTTTGAGTGCTCGAAGCACAAACCAAACCTTCACACAGACTCGGCGGTTTTTCCATGGCAGAAACTTCTGCAACATGGGAATCCGCCGATGCCAAAAAGTAGAAACCCTGCTATCATGTTTCAATTATATAAACGGCTTTGGCATCCTCCTGAGACAATACAGACAGACACATCAGCTCCCAAACTCCCCAGGGATCCTTGACGTTTCCTGCCGCGTGCGTCTCAGCGGGACATGAGGGTTCTCCAGGACCCTGTCGCTTTGTTGAAAACATTTTAGCGATTGCGTTGAAAGTCCAGCTGACCAGAGCCATGATAGTAGTTTTAGTTTTGGAAAAAGTGTAAAATAGGAGCTCCAATACACTGACAGAGAGCAATATAAAGCAGGAGGAGGACAGGAGAGCAGGAGGAGGAGGAAAAAGTGTCCGCCTTGCACATGAGCGAGTCAAGAAAGAGTGAAGAAAGATGTAGATGTTCCTGAATCAGTGCTGTATAAATATGTTTAATGTGCTTTTTTGTTTGTTTGTTTCAGTAATACCTCACAAAATTGGTCGAATAATTGAAGGCAGTCCTACAGACCGGATCGGTCAGATGAAAGTGGGCGACCGCATTTCTGCAGTCAACGGTCAGTCCATCATGGAGCTGTCACACAACGACATCGTTCAGCTCATCAAGGATGCAGGGAATACGGTCACTCTGACGGTCGTACCTGAAGACGGTGAGTTGGACGAACCTCATTTCTATCAAGCTGTAAGGAGAGCAGAACTGTTGACACTCCAGTTGTGTGCTTCCAGATGGCGCTCCTCCATCTGGAACAAACTCAGTCAAGCACAGCCCGTCAGCCCAGCACAGAGCTGTGGGCCAGCAGCCTCCCAATTACCAGGACAGGTACGCAGTGAGCTGACAAAAGATCAGTTTAACTTTGAGTCATTGCATGTGGACAAATAATATTTTTTGTTCCAAAAAAGTCCATGCTCAATAATCCAGGTATACAATCCAACAATTTTCAGTCAGGTCATCTGGACACTTTCTTTTTTCTTTGTTTTTTGCTGAAACGTTTCACCTTCCATCCAGAAGGCTTCGTCAGTCAAGGAAACGCACAACACAAAACTGATTCTTCCTCCCAAACAGCTTACTCCAAAGTGGAACGAACCAGTTATGTTGGTGCTAAGATGGTGTCTTTGGCACACCCCTCGACAGTCATGTCAAACTGGTTCAAAACCAATAAAGTCCATGCTCAATAATCCCATCCCAAAATAGACACCATCTTCAGAACAAACAATAACAAACTTCAGACTCAAACTACAAACACCAAACAATAGGTGCAGATCTATCTGGAGCACATGTTTGTGAGATTTAATTTGAAAGAACTCCACAACTTTTCAACCTTTTCACCTGAACCACCTTCAGAGGTAGTCTGGAACCTTTTTTTTTTTTATCTCATTGGAGCCAGTGTGGTCACTTTAAGCTCTAATGGGCTGAGTCAGTCACAGGACAATGGTCTGAGCAGCACCTCTGATGTTACACTAAAGCCTCCAGTATAGTCGGGCGTACGTGAGTCCACGGAGGTCCGCGCATACCGGATTAGACTCGAAGCGGACGCCCGCAGGGCATGTCCGTGCAAAGCTTAATTTTTACGACCGCATACTTGTCCTCGGTGTCGCACAATAAACTGTCTGGTGACGGACTGTTTTGTATGTGACACCAATGTATTAAATTCCCCTTCTTCATCCCTGGTCTGGTTTAATGGCCTTTTCTTTAGTTTTTTTGCCAAGAGACAAGCGATCTCTTCCTCCTTCGTTGATGCCATGACTGAAATTGTGAGAAATTAAGGAATTTGTCACGAGTGAATTAAAATCAGGTCCAGCGTGGCTGCGGGAGGGTCTGGAGATTTCCTGGTGGGCTGATCTGATGTGTGGGCTGCAGGGCCAGCACTCCGTTTTTTATTTTTTATTTTTGAGAACTTTTTTATTAACAACGTATAAACACAGAGCACCACTGGGGCTAGAGCTGCCAGCTCTCGGTTTTTTTTTTTTTTTTTTTTTTTTGCAACCTGTCAATCAATCCAGTAGGCGTGTCAGCAAATGACAAATCGGTGAACTCAATTTGTCCCGAAGGTAAACACCCCTTGTCTGTGGAGCTTACAGCAGCCACTCAAGTGGACGCTCGAGTATGAAGTCTCAACCCTCTGCGGACAGAGTGCACAGTTTCCACGCGGCTGACAGGACGCGCGAGTATACTGGAGCATTTACCGTGCAGCTGCATGAAACACCTCACCATTGTCAGCACCGTGTTCCACTGCCGTGGATTTTAATATGTTCAAATCTCCCGCTCTGACTCTGAGCTCTGTGTCGTCAGTGTAGATTAGAATGTTGTGTAGGTTTGACCAAACTTCAGCAGGAGGAACTGAAGTCCCACTCAGCTGCCAGCTCGCTGTAGGATGTGTTTGTGTCTGTATCTGCATACAGAGCGGGTAGATGACAGCCGCTCACTTAAATGTTTTGCGGTACAGCTTTATCTACCAGATGTGAACGCTCTCAGTCAGAGCTGGACTCACCCAAGACAGATGTTAATACCAGGTCTGAATAGGGACTCAAAGTCCCATACCTTTAGCACAATGGGCGGCTGTGGCTGAGTGGTTAGAGCAGTCTTCCTCCAATGGAAGGGTTGGGGGTTTGGTTCCACCAGCCAAAGTGTCCCTGGGCAAGACACTGAACCCCTCAATGCCTCCGATGTGTGTCCCATCAGTGTTTGAATGTGATGAAGCTCTGATTAATCTCTTTAGAATGTTTAGTTCAATCAACTTTGTAGAGATCTAGTAGAATGCTGTGTGAATGAGTAAATGAGGCACAGATTGTAGTGTAAAGAGCTTTGAGTGTCTTGATCAGATAGAAAGATGATATATAAGTACAGTCCATTTACCTTTTAACACGATGGCTCAATGGTTTGTAAAAAGAGCAAATGAAAGTCCCTCAAACTGGAGCCAAACCAGTGTTAATGAGTTAAAAAAGTGCATTCAGGTTATCTTCCAGATGTTTCCAAATGTTTGCTCTATCTCTACTCCTTTTTTGGTTCTTTTAAATTTGGTATAAACAAAAGACGGAAAAGTAATAACAAAGTCCATGCTCAATAATCCAGGTGTACAATCCAACATTTTTCAGTCAGGTCATCTGGACAGTTTCTTTTTTTTTTTGCGCTGAAACGTTTCACCTTCGATCCGGAAGGATCTAGGAGGTAAGCTTCGAAGGCGAAACGTTTCAGCACAAAAAAGAAACTGTCCAGATGACCTGACTGAAAAATGTTGGATTGTGTACCTGGATTATTGCGCATGGACTTTGTTGTTTTCAACCAGTTTGACATGACTGTCAACAAGGAAGAGGGCCGGCAATGGAGGAGGGGGCGTATCAAAGAGACCATCTTATCACAAGCAGAACTGGTTTGTTCCACTTTGGATTAAGCTGTTGGGTGAAGAATCAGTTTTGTTGTGTGTTTCCTTGACTGATGAAGCCTTCTGGATGGAAGGTGAAACGTTTCAGCACAAAAGAAGAAACTGTCCAGATGACCTGACTGAAAAATGTTGTAAGGAAAAGTAATCTTTCCAACATGAAACATTTAAGATGTTTTTTAAAGATTTTGCATCAGATTTAAATGGGGGGGAAAAAAGACGGGCCTTGAAATCCCATCACCTTTCACTTTATTCTGGCCAAACTGGAGCATACCACTGTTAACTTACAAAACAACTCAGACACTGAGTCCTCCTCAGGAGACAGGTCCTGTGCAGGTTCTGCTGCTTGAAAACGTAAATTAGCCCCAAACATCAAAAAGCACCTCTGGTTCTGTGCTGCCATGTGGCCCATTACCATCGCTTGTGGTCTTGTTATCCAAAAAGACAGAAAGTCCCCCTGATGGTCATTCTTCAGACAGAGAATCAAAGGAAAAGATGGAGGATTAAAGAAGTGTCTTTGCTTTCTTTGATCTTTCTTTCAAACAAGATTACCTGTGTCGGACCTTTAATCCGCCACATTCCACCATCATCATTTCCGACCTTCTCCTGTTCTACTGCGCAGCCTTTCCACGTGTTCCTCCTTCTTATTTTAGCTGTCTGCTCGCTCCTCCGCAGCACGTTTACTCCTCTTCGTTTAATCACAAGCACATGCCTCGGTCAGCCCAGACTCACAGGCGCCTCAAAAATGAGAATATTGTGAAATGTTCAATTTTCTTTGTCAGTCACTTGAGAAAGTGAAACTCACATAGATCAGTTACATAGAGTCAAATGTTTTCAAGCATTTATTTCTTGTAATTTTGATGATTATGGCTTACAGATAATGAAAAACTAAAATTCAATATCTCAGAGAATGAGAATATTATGAAGAGGTTCAATATTTTAAACTCCTGGTGTCACAGCCTGATCAGCTGATTAACTCCTTCATGAGCTACAAATGTAACATTCCTCCAGTCCAGCCACTCCTGAACCAGAGACATCAGAAGTGTCTTACCTGCTGAGGAGACAAAGAACTGGACTGTCTCTCAGTGTCCAATGTCCTCTCTTCAGATAAATGTTCACGTCATTTATAAATCAAGGTCCCAGAGTCTGGGGGGAGAGTGGCGAGGTCCAGAATCCATGTTGAAGTCCTGAGTGAAGTTTCCACAGTCAGTGATGGTTTGGGTCCATGTCCTCTGCTGGTGCTGGTCCACTGTGTTTTCTGAGGTCCACAGTCCACGCAGCAGGACATTTTAGAGACTTCATGCTTCCTGCTGCTGACGAGCTTTATGGACATGCTGGTTTTATTTTCCAGCAGGACTCGGCTCCTGCCCACACTGACAATGGTACCAGAAGCTGTCCGTGGAAGATTCTAACCATCTGAGACACTGAGTTTTGTTTTTTCATTATTTTTAATCCATAATAATCAAAATTACAGGAAATAAAGGCTCTAAATATTTCACTCTGTGAGTAATGACTCTATGTAAAATATAAGTTTCACTTTCTGAAACAACTTGACAACAAGAATGAATGTTTTCAGAATGATGTAATGTTTTAAGATGCACCTGCAGTCATGAGCTGCAGCTGTCGACTCGGCAGCACGGAGCGAGTGAAGTCTTCTCCACAGTGGAGCTGCAAAGAATTTCTCAACTCTGTAGATGGTGTGTCAGCTCAGATATGTTCCCACTAAGGCGCCGTAATGAGCTCTGCGAAGCGTTAAAGCGTGCCGCTGTTATCTGTCACAGACGTGTAGAGACAACACAGCTTGGAGGGGTTCCTTTTCTCTGTGCGGGTTCAGTGATGAAACCAGCAGAGGGAGGCTGTTGTTATTTTATTGTCTTCTCCTCTCACTACATCATTATTTCCCACCACAGAAAGGTAAACTTGTGTATGTAGTTTCCAAAATGAATTTAAAGTTTAGATTCATCTGATCACAGAACAGTTTTCCACTTGGCCTCAGTCCTTTTGAAACGAGCTTTGGACCAGAGCAGACAGCAGTTTCTGGATGGTGTTCACACACGGCTTCCTCTTTGCCTGATAGAGCTTTACCCTGCATGTGCCTGGTGAACCTCTGCCCGTTTTTACTTCTGACAGAGCCAGCCTCTCTAAAATGTTCTTTTTATACCAGTTGTTTTACTGACCTGTTGACAAAAAACATAATTAGTTTAAAAATGCTCCTCCAGATGTTTCTTATTCGTACCTCACAATTTTACAGCCTGATAGTTTTTGGAGATGTGTTGCTGCCATCAAAATCAAAATGATCTATTTTTTGCACACACATAAAGGATACAATATTTTAGATTAGAAGAATGTATATGTTTACTGGGTTCCATTTTAAATACAATATAGACTCATAAGATTTAATTATGTTTTTAATTTATATTTCACACAATGTTCCAGCTTTTTTTAAATGGGGTTTTTATTTATTACAGTCATTATTGTGAAGGCAGATCCAGGATGTCATATTGTAAAGTTTTCAGATGATACAAACAATGATGAGTCCAGCTACAGGCAGGAGGTGGAACACCTGGAGAGCTGGTGGAGGAAGAACAACCTTCACATCAGTGTGAAGAAGATGAAGGAGATGATCATAGATTTCAGACAGAGCAAACACACCTACCCACCCTGAACATAGGAGGATCTGCAGTGGAAGTGGTCTCCAGCTACAAGTACTTGGGTGTACACCTGAATGACAACCTCATCTGGAGCAGCAACACCACCAGCCTGATCAAGAAAGCTCATCAGAGACTCTACTTCCTCAGGCAGCTGAGATGAGCTGGTCTGGGAAGCTCAGTCCTCACCTCCTTCTACAGGTGTGCAGTGGAGAGCATCCTGTGCTCCAGCATCAACATGTGGCATGGAGGCTGCACAGCTGCAGAAAGAAAAGCTTTGCAGAGAGTGGTGAAGGCTGCACAGAAGACTGTCAGAGTCAGCCTCCCCACCATCACAGACATCTATACCTCCAAATGCAGGAAGAGGGCTACCTGCATCATGAAGGACCCCACTCACCCAGGCCACACACTTTTGGCCCCACTCCCCTCAGGAAGGAGGTTGAGGAGCATTAAGTGTAGAACCACTAGACTGAGGAACAGCTTCTACCCTGAGGCTGTTAGACTCATGAATCTCTAACCAGAATAATCACTGTGAAACATCACATCATGTTGCTGCTGATTTGTTTCATGTTGCTGCTGATCTGTTTCATGTTGCTGCTGATCTGTTTCAATGTTGATGTGTTCATGCGTGCTCATCTGCTCACACAGACTCATGTTCATGTTTGTGCTGATGTTCAATGTTTTTATGCTATTAGTGCTTAGTATATTTTTAGTTGATGTTTTTTCTTAGTTCATAGTCTTGGATCAATCTTAGATCTTATTACTGTTTTTCTTTTACATTTTATTGTTGGATGCAACTGGGACCCTTTGTACATAATTTTGTTCCACCACATTCACCACATGAGATGCGAACGGCAATAAAGAATCTCTGAGATGATTAGGTTTTTTGCCCCCGAGTGTGTGTGTGTTCTTGTAAATGCACTTTTTTGGGGACTTTGCATTGACTTCCATTCATTTTCTATATCCCTGATCCTTACCTTAAACCTAACCATTACTAGTACATGCCTAACCCTAATCCATCCACAATTCACACCTTAGTCCTGAACCTAACCCCCCAACGAGACTTCTCTTTTTGGGGACCTGGCTTTGGTCCCCAAAAAGAGCAGTTTGTTCTCACAATGCATGATTTTTTTTTAAATTGGTCCCTACAATATAGCCTGAAATAAAAATGCACACACACACACACACAGGGGTACTGAGATGGTGAAGAGCAGGGCTATTCAACTTCATTAAAAAAGTGTGTGTGTGTGTAAGTGTGTGTGTGTGTGCGTGTGTGCTTATGGTTTTGTTTTTCTGTCTAAAATATCTCGTTAGCCACTCTGCACATTTTAATTAAGCTTTCAGTAAGTACTGAGTGTTCTTCTAAAACAGATTATTTTTAGTTAATCTAAAGTCAACTGGCTGCCATACATTATCACAAAAATCTCTAGCTGTCAGTTTGACAGATATAGAAAAATTAAAATGGTTAGAAATTAAAATGATGTGGTAGTAGCTGAGAGTCCTTCACAGCACAAACTAAAGGTGAGCTCACACACGTCATTATTCGGATTTGACCAAAGTATTTCTCAACATAACACGATCTTACTCTAAAGCTCGCAGTGGGCTGAAAGCATTCTTTCAACAAATGCTGGTTACGTCTCTGTGCTGTACCACATTGTAACGTGTTTTGGGTTATTTCTGTGTTAGAAACGGTGACTCTGAGGTGAAGAACTCACTCCAGCCGAGTGAGAGAGGAACCTTCATCACATCAGGCCCCAAACAGGTGAAGCCAAACTTCAAAACTTCGTGTTTGCAGTAAATACCCAAATGTTTCTCTCAAAATAACTCGTCGCTTTTTGTCTGGGAACATCAGGGCTGCTTTGTGGTGGAACTGGAGCGCAGCCAGCGGGGCTTCGGCTTCAGCCTGAGAGGAGGGAAAGAGTACAACATGGGTCTGTACATCCTGCGCCTGGCCGAGGACGGGCCAGCTCTTAACGATGGCAGGATACACGTAAGTCTCCTTTACTTATCTGAACTGTAAATGAACCAGGTCTGGATCCTACTGTACACATTTTTACACATCAATCTGATGGAAAAGATCTAAGACAATCAACACTCCACAACAACTTCACTTCACGTGCTCAATTTCTAGGCAAAAAGAATAAAACGTGAACAAAGAGAGCATGTCCAAAACACCAGCGGTGTACCATCTACACCTGCCAAGTCATTTCAGTGTAGAAGACCAAATAGATACAAACATGAACAGCTGTCTTTTATTTCTTGAACCAGCTGTTTTTACAAGTGAAAAAAAATACAATGAAACTGTAGTGAACCAGATGACCTGATGATCTGACCCTCATCTGACCCTGATGACCTCAAATCTACCAGATGGACAGAGACTGTTATTTTCATTGATCTGAATAAGTCTGAGCCATCTGATGACTTTCTTTCTTGAATTAATCAAGCAGAAAAGACAATCCCCTATAATCATTACTGTCTTACAAATGTTTTGATAATCAAATTGTGTTAGTTTCACTCAATGCTTACAGGTTGAAAAGAACTACTCATTTTTATTTTACATAAACAGTAAGTAATGATTTTATTCCCCATTCAAAGGAGAAATCAGGTTAATATGCATTTCTTGATTTTCTGTCTGAAATGAGCTAAGCTCGTAAGTATGTGAAAGGTTGGTTTTCGGTCAACTAAAATGTTTACCGAGAAAGATGTCATGTTTAAACTTTTTCAGAAGATTACCAAGAGTTGACTCCACGAAGTCTGCTCTCCTGCAATAATCTCTCTGTCAGTTGTTAAAACAATCTCATTCTCTGACCTTGGCTTAGATAACATCTTACGTCACAAAACCACTCCTCTTTCTGGTCCATCCACGAATCAGAAAGCTCTGAAGTAAACTCTGAAGTAAACTCATTTAAAATGTGACAACTTCCCGGTTCTGGCAGAGTGCAGTAGATTCCATGGAGTGCAGTAGATTCCATGGAGTGCAGTCGGTTCCAAGAGATTCCAGAGTTAGAGTTATGGAGAGTTTTGGAGTTGGAGTCTGAGAAGATCTGAAAGAGTCTGAGAGCTGCTGACAATGAAGAGTCAGAGTTGCCGAGAATCCAGAGACGTTTTGGGATTATAATTCTGTTTTGAACTAACCACGCACGACTCTCCAAGGATTTTAGCTGTTCTCAACGGAGACGCTGATATCAGTCTGAAGGATTCTTACTGAGGTGATCTATCGTCAACAAGGTAACGGTTTCTTCTTCGACTAAAGTGTACCTGGGACAAGCTGAGATACCTGATGGGAGCGTGCAATTTTCTGGTCAACAGATATTAATTCCCTCACATATTTCTCTGTAAGATAAATCTCAATTTCCTCTTAAACTCACCTCTCTCTCATAAATCTATACAGATATTTTTAGAAATATCTGAAGCAAAGTCCTCAAATCACCGCCGAGTGATTTGAAGTTCATTATTTGTGAAACTTGTCTGTTATTATTTTCATATTTTGCCAAATTAATGTAAATGTTTGATGTTAAACTTTGATTCTGAAAATAAATGACTCCATTCATTTGATGGGTCAAAGATAATAACGTCTCTCGTTCGCATTTCTGTTAAATTCAATGCACGGCATTACACAGTCAGAAAAATGAAGAACTCGTGAATATAGTATGCATAAATATATACCACATATATTTGTCATACAACTAGTGACACGTACCCACGTGACTCACTACAAAACAAAAAAATGACTTAAACATCTGAAACTGAGATAAAGAAAAATGCATATAGAATATGAAACATGTATACAACATGTAACAATATGAAAATATAAATAACGTAGAAATAATATTTTAACAAGTAATCGAATTTAAAACTATTCTCAACTTCTTTTTTAAATAAATGTTTTATAAAGTATCAAAACCTGGCATTTAGTTTAAACTTTTATTTCTTTAATTTAAACATTTTTTCCTCAAATAAACAAACACTTTGGTCTTAATTGAGCTCGGTATAAAGCAGGCTGTCACTAACATCCTCGACAGCTGGTGGTTGTCTTTAGGCCACCTTTGCAGACCTTGACCCATGTATGGACTTTGCAGAGTCTCAGACATTAAACATTAAGAACGTGCTGGGCTGAGCATTAAATATAATAGAGCATGAAGGGTATGCACAGAACTTCTGTATAGAGGTTATGATGGGTTATCAATGCGATAGCAGCTTATCGGGGTCCGGGGTGAAGCAAAGGGGTGTGAGGTGGCAGCACGTCTATGATGTGGGACCTACACACACTGCGCTGACTTGGTTATCAAGAGTTTGAAGCGTGACTGACTATGCTGGACTATGATCATGATTGTGACAAGCTCATGGAAACAACATGTGATACCTGTTGTGATGGAGGCGTGGTGTGTAGCTACATCCTCACATGGTCTGATAGTCATGCCAGGGCAGGAGTGCAGAGCACACTAAGAGAGCAGGAGGAACAATGAAACTCACAGGAAGAAACACTGACAGATAAAATTACAGACAACTAGAGACAGGACTGTACACAGTATATGTGTTGAAACTACGAAGGACAAGTGTCCCCCGGTGGCTGGCTGCAGTATACGTTTAAGTCCAACCCCTACATTCAAGGTTCAAGGTGACTTTATTGTCATTCACATCACATGTGGTACACGAGGTGGAACGAAATTGTGTACTCAAGATCCCAGTTACACCCAAAAATAGCAAAAATATAAAGTCTAAAAAAGAAACCGTATACAAAGATCTAAGATACGCTAAACAACAATAATGTAAAATAATACGGTGTATTAAACAGCAGCCTGAACATGAGTCGGTTGTAAGGAGATGGATATGAATATAGCAGCTTAAAGGCAAGAGATCAGCAGCATGGATAATCAGCAGCACAGATAAAGTCACATCACCGATTAAAGTGGCATTTCAGTGATTTTTTTTCTGATTAGAGATTCATGAGTCTAACAGCTTCAGGGTAGAAGCTGTTCCTCAGTCGAGTGGTTCTACACTTAATGCTCCTTAACTTCCTGCTTGAGGGGAGCGGGGCAAAAAGTGTGCGTGCTGGATGAGTGGGGTCCTTCATGATGCAGGTGGCCCTCTTCCTGCATCTGGAGGTGTAGATGTCTGTGATGGTGAGGAGGCTGACTCCAACAGACTTCTGTGCAGCCTTCACCACTCTCTGCAAAGCTTTTCTTTCTGCAAAGCTTTTCTTTCTGCAGCATGTAATCCAATGGGATGGTTTCCTAACAAAGAAATAAAAATGCGTTTCAAAGTTTGATTGTTAGGACTAATTACCCATACCCTGCTGCTGAATGTTCAAACGTGCATTTCTACAAATGTTTTGCTTGAGTTAGTTATTGGAGGCTTTAAAAAGTCATTTTACAATGTGATGACAATGATTACTATCAGGGCTAGAGCCCCTCATTCTCAGTGCACAGGCTCTGGCTCCAAAAGCATTATCAGGCAGTGTCCAAAAAAACAGACATTTGAGCTTCAACTTGGTTAATAGACAGTAATAATTGCTTTGTCCATTTTTAGTTTCATCACTGGGAAAACAAAACTTTATTTGAGACTAATAGCATCATCACAGGGGTTTCCAAATTTGTCACAATACGCCAGACTCTAGTAGGTCATAGAAAGTATACCGGGGTCATCATCAAATGAGAAAGGGCCCTAAAGGGATAGTTTGACCATTTTGAATAAATGTTCTGTTAAATGGTTACTAAATACTTGTTGGTACCTTATCAGCCATGACATCAGTCTTTATGGCTAACCAGCCTCTTTTATAGCATTTTTACACATGTAAAATAACTTTTGCTCTAAACTCCTGGTGTAACAGAATATATGGACAAACATTAAGCCTCTACACTTCTGTTTGTTTAGTTTGTCACAGTGTTTTCAATAAAACATTCAAATGACCACACTGCTTTTAAAGTTGGTATAACGTTGTGGTTTATAGATTGGTTGAAGATCCTCAGATGACATCGAGGCAGCTGCTCTCTCCACCTGCGCTGTGTTCATGTTGTTAGCACTTTTCAGTCACGTCACTGTATTTGTTCAGGTTTTGGAGAAAGTTATCATATCAGCAGTTTGTTGAGTATAATGTTAACACAGTGTCAACTTTCAGATTTTATAAATCAAAGTTGGTTTAAGCTGAGGTGTTTATCCCTGTGCTGAGCAGCATGTCTCTCTTCAGTCAGTTCAGTCCTGGTACACTGGACTTGTGTGAACTGACACCATAAAACTGAATTGCAGGTTGGAGATCAGATCGTGGAGATCAACGGTGAGGCAACGCAGGGCATCACACACACTCGAGCGATTGAGCTGATCCAAGCGGGAGGCAACAAGGTCCACCTGCTGCTCCGAGCGGGCCAGGGCCTGGTCCCGGATCACAGTGAGTCTCAGCTGAAAACCTGTCTGCATTTACACATAGCACATTAATCACACACGTATGACTGCTGGGCGCTTCTTGATTCTTGTGCATGTGTTGCAAGCTTCTTTCTTTGACCTTCATTCATACTCTCGACCTCTCATGCTGTTTATCTCTTTTGCTTTCTCTGTTTTTTTCTGCACGGCTGTCTGTTTCTACCTCTTTATGCTCTTCCTCCTATAGGTCTGAACTCTTCTTCCACCCTGTGCTTCTACATGAAACCAGAGCTTCAATAAAGGCCTCACTGCTTTTTCTCGGTCTGTCTCTTTACCTTGGTAAATCTTAGACTCCTCCTACTTTTTGCCTTTGACCTCTATTCAAAGTTTTAGGTGCTGTTTGTTCTTTTTTGTGGGGTAATCTCAGCTTGATTTATTTTTGTATAACTCTAAACACAGTCTCATAATCAGTCTCATCTCTGGAGGGTTGATTTTAAAGCAGTGAGTTCTAGAAGAACAAGTAGACCTTCAGGAACACTCAGAGGAGAAAAAGACAGAAACTTGTTGTTACTGACCTTAGGCTTCATCTTTGATGTGAAAGTAGAACTGGAGAAAATGTGCTAAATCAGATTTGTGTATATTCACTGGCATCAACTTTTAAATTAAAAAATCCATAAATGAGAATTAATTTCTGAGTTGTTGCTCTAAGAAATCCAAAACCTCATTCCAGCTTTACGAAGTCCATCACTCATCCCCCTCTCGGTTTCCTGTTGCGTATATCTGCTCTGAACCGCAGCTGCGTAGCTCTTATCAGCTCAGGGCAAAATTGAAACGTCAGTTCTAGTACCCTTTCAACTGATGCATATCTCTCAAGCGTTTTGATGCTTATTGCAAAGAGTTCTTGCAAAGTGCCTGCACATGATGCTACTGTTGCATGACATTTTTAATGAGCCCTGACTCTTGTTGTGTTTTTGCAGTAAATTAGATTATGTTTCTGACTCTGCTGTTTGTTTCTCAGGTTCAAAAGACAAAGCAGTTATTTCGACAGCAAGCTTTTCCAGACTCTCTGCATCTGATGACCAGTTGTCTCCAGCTTCTCCGTCCTCCATCTTTTTCTCTACCTCAGAAGGGTCTCCATCTTCTCCCAAAACTTCTGCCTCTTATGAGCTCTCTGAAGAGGACCTCAGGGCGTCTGGGTCACCTGATGATGGACAGGAGCACAGTAGGCAGGCCAACAGATCAAAAGAACAGCAGCTTCTCCACCACAACCAGAAACGTACCAGCAGCCCCAGCAAACACGTCAGACAAGCTGCCAGGAGCAACTCCAAGTCCAGCAGTCCCAGAAGAGTTGCTGAAGGCTGGAATGATCAGGTGGAGCGGTCCCTGAGCTACCGAAAAACAGAGCGAGGCCACAGTGGATCCCAGGAGGACGTGATCATGGAGAGAAAAACCCAAGGACAGAGAGACCCCCGCTCCTCTAGTCCAAGAAAAAGTTCCAAGAAGGAGCGTGATCCTGCAATGCATCCTGGGAACCTGGAAGAGCCTCAGAGCCCCAGGCGCCCAGCTGGCCAACAGCCCAATGTTTCCACTTTGGAAAGGAAGGACAGGAAGCATAAGGGGGAGGATGCAACTCACTGGCAGGAGAGAGGTGCCACAGAGAGTGGAGACAAAAGCTGGGGGTCTGGGGAGCGTCCCAGGAAAGGAAAGAGGACTGAGAAAGAGGCGGCAGCGCCAAAGTCCAACAGGGAGAGGATGGGGTCGGATGCTGATACCAGCACGATGAGCCAGAGGAGTGGAAGAGACAGGGCGGACAGAGAATACAGAGGGGACAGGCACCGGGGGACAGCTGAGGATGTGAGCAGAAAGGATTCCAGAGGTTCCAGTAGCAGCATTCAGGACCCCAACTGCAACGGGACCAGCACCAGCAAGAAGTCTCCCATCACCCCCGGCCCCTGGAAAGTTCCCACCTCTACCAAGATCCAGTCTCACATGGACACAGCATATGCTGATATTTGAAACCTCGACGGGACTGCATGAAGATAAACTGAGCCTCTCAAGTATGGATATGGAAGTGTGGAAGGATTGTTGTTTCCTTTTTGTTAAACAGCAGAACGCGCTGTGACCAGCACGATACCGTCTCATTGACTGTTTTGTTTGTGTGTTTTTTCACCCAGTTTGCCTCGGACATGTTGCATTAAGCTGCTGATCTGACATGAGTGTTTGTTCCTTCCATGGATTTGTGTGCACCAGAAGGATCCAGAGTGGTTTTTGGTTGTTTTGTTTTTTCGTTTGGTTGGTAGTTTTTTTTTTTTGTTTGTTTGTATTTCGTGCCAATCAGATACTCCGGTTATGAAGACGCTGTTCCAGACAGCACTCACTGTGAAGCAGTTTGTAGAAGATTGAATGAAGTGCTCGTCCTCTTGATCCCAACCACATGAAGGAACCTTGTTTTTATCTCTCACTTTGAAGGATTACAAGCAAACGTCTGCACTCTCCCAACTTTTATACCCAGCAAAATTTAGTCACTGTTATGGTCACAAATGGACCAAATGTAAAGGAGAATTTTTGAGTTTCTCGTAAAGTGAACTCGAGAGAAAATCAGTGTCTTCTAAGTGTGTGGTTTTTTTTTTTTAAGAGAACCCGACAAGAACTGTGACTAGTGTGACTGCATTCAAACATTTTAAGTCATGACTCAAATGCTGGTGGAAGGACCACCCTGGAGCTTTATATGCATCAATGAGCAGACCAGATACTTGTGCTTATAGATCTAATGTTTATTACCTGTGTTGTGACAATAAGACTTTGTGTATTTTTCATAGAAATAGAAGTTTAAAAAAAAAGGCCGTCTGTAGAGATGTCCACGCTGTGAGGAGTCACTGTTGATGTGTGAAGGAGACGGAGCATGTTGAAAAGTGTTAATATTAAAAGATTCCCACTAAGAAAAGCTTAAATTACAGTCGTGAGAAAAAATCAAGTCCATCCATTTTTTTGTTTGGGGGTTTTACGTGTCAGGACAGAGAAAGGATCTGGTCTTTACCAGGTTCTAACATTATTTAAATCTAACTTCATGTGTATAAACACAACAGATTTCACCATGACGTTTTTATCAACAAAAATGAAGCCCAAATGGAAAAAACTGTGGAATACTAAGTCTGCCTCATGATTCAGTAGCTTGTAGAACTACAACAACCACCCTCGGTAATGTTTTTTGTTGGACTTTATTGGTTTCTTACAGGGTTGTGGAGGAATTTTGTCTCAGTTTTTTTTTAAGTGTTGCTTCGTTTCATTGAGGTTTACAGACATTTGTTTCTGCACAGCATTATCACATTATTTTTTCAGCTATTCTGTTGTACCACTGTTGGGACCACTGTTCAGTTTCCTGACCCTGTCTGGTCCAAGCTTCAGCTGTCAGCCAAACGTCCTCATATCTGACTCAACAACAACCACTTCAGCCTGCAGAGGAGTTTGACTCATTGACTGGACAGAGCCCAGGTCTTCTGTCTGCAATACATGCCCACATCATTAGCCCTCCACCACCATGCTTGACAGTTGGTCTGAAGCGTTTGAGCTGATTGTTTACTTTTCTCATACACGATGCTGTGCATTCTGATGAAATATTTTCTCCATTTTGGCCTCCTCTCTTCAAAAGACCTCATTACAGAGGTCTTGTAGAATTAAGAAGGAAAGCATTACCTTCATGTTTCACTGACAGCTTTTCCATTTTAGCTTCATTTTTGTTTAATAAGTAATAACATGAGGGAATCTTTTGTGTGTTTAGGTTAAATTTGAGTAATTTTACAACTTAGATAAAAAATAAATAAAAAAAACAGAACATTTTGATTCTGCCCTGAAATGTAAAACCCTGGAAGTGAAGCAGCTAAACTTTTTGTTCACATGGACCAACATTGGACTAATCATTATTTGGTGTAGTACATGACTCACAGTGTTGGTATTATGGGTTAATTACTATCTGTAAAACGTCTGAACATCATTCATTGATGGTTCTGTACAAGTTGCACAAGCTTCAATGCAAAATGTCCAGACAGCGACACTGCTTCTTTGGGAATCCAAAGGTTTTATGAAGACAAATGTAGCGTTTCAAGGTTTCTACTGTGGACTGCAGAGCCATCTAGTGCTTCGAACACTGCTCCAACAAATCATAGCTTTAACCCGACCTCATCCACACACGCCTGCTTCAACATCTGTTTTTTGGTCTGTGTGACCACTAAATAATGTATTGTCCAAGTTATTGTTGATGTAATGGTATTATTTACTGTTCATACCTTCACCATGTCTGATATCGTGGCCTTGTATCGCTCCAATATATTTAAAACAGAAGTCATAGTTTTGACATCACAGTAGATGTAAATGTTTATAAAATTGTACAGCACTTGTAAAAAAAAATGCCTTCATGCAGAAAAAAAATCCTCTGTATATTCTTTCATTATTTTTTTAAAGGAACTGAAAAGAAATGATATAAAATGGGTGAAAATAAATAATTTGATCACATGTCAAATTGTTCATGCACTGATAAATAAAGGTTTACTGAATGAAAATGGCTGCTGTCTTTTATTTATATATGTAAAATAGTCATGTTTGGCAGCATACTGTATTACATAATATATATGTAATATAATATAATAATTCCATACTTGTCAAAGACATTTCAGAAAGCAAAAAATATCAAACGTTAGCATATTTAGAGAAAAACACAAAAACTAAAATTTATTAAATACAGTGGCTTGCGAAAGTATTCGGCCCCCTTGAATTTTTCAACCTTTTGCCACATTTCAGGCTTCAAACATAAAGATATAAAATTTTAATTTTTTTGTGAAGAATCAACAAGTGGGACACAATCGTGAAGTGGAATGAAATTTATTGGATGTGTCAAACTTTTTTAACAAATTGTAGATGAACAGAGAGCATCATGAAGACCAAGGAACACACCAGGCAGGTCCGAGATACTGTTGTGGACAAGGTTAAAGCTGGATTTGGATGCAAAAAGATTTCCCAATCTTTAAACATCCCAAGGAGCACTGTGCAAGCAATCATATTGAAATGGAAGGAGTATCAGACCACTGCAAATCTACCAAGATCCGGACGTCCCTCTAAACTTTCATCTCGAACATTGAGAAGACTGATCAGAGATGCAGCCAAGAGGCCCATGATCACTCTGGATGAACTGCAGAGATCTACAGCTGAGGTGAGAGAGTCTGTCTATAGGACAACAATCAGTCGTACACTGCACAAATCTGGCCTTTATGGAAGAGTGGCAAGAAGAAAGTCATTTCTCAAAGATATCCATAAAAAGTCTTGTTTAAAGTTTGTCACAAGCACCTGGGAGACACCAAACATGTAGAAGAAGGTGCTCTGGTCAGATGAAACCAAAATTCAGCTGTTTGGCCACAATGCAAAACGATATGTTTGGCGTAAAAGCAACACAGCTCATCACCCTGAACACACCGTCCCCGCTGTTAAACATGGTGGTGGCAGCATCATGGTTTGGGCCTGCTTTTCATCAGCAGGGACAGGGAAGATGGTCAGAATTGATGGGAAGATGGATGGGGCCAAGTACAGGACCATTCTGGAAGAAAACCTGTTTGAGTCTGCAAGAGACCTGAGACTGGGACGGAGATTTATCTTCCAACAAGACAATGATCCAAAACATAAAGTCAGATATACAATGGAATGGTTCACAAATAAACGTATCCAGGTGTTGGAATGGCCAAGTCAAAGTCCAGACCTGAATCCAATCGAGAATCTGTGTAAAGAGCTGAAGACTGCTGTTCACAAACGCTCTCCATCCAACCTCACTGAGCTCGAGCTGTTTTGCAGGAAGAATGGGCAGAATTTCAGTCTCTCCATGTGCAGAACTGATAGAGACGAACCCCAAGAGACTTGCAGCTGGAACTGCAGCAAAAGGCGGCGCTACAAAGTATTAATGCAAGGGGGCCGAATAATATTGCACGCCCCACTTTTCAGTTTTTTATTTGTTAAAAAAGTTTGACACATCCAATAAATTTCATTCCACTTCACGATTGTGTCCCACTTGTTGTTGATTCTTCACAAAAAAATTAAAATTTTATATCTTTATGTTTGAAGCCTGAAATGTGGCAAAAGGTTGAAAAGTTCAAGGGGAGCGAATACTCAATGTCAATTTTTTGTTGCCATTTTAATGTTTTTGTTCCTATTTAACTAGTTTTATATTCTATTTTGCAGTAAGTAGTGAGTTGTGCTTTTAATGTTTTGTTGTTGAGCTGAGGAGTTTTTTTTTTTTATTTTAATGTTTGCTTTACGTTAAATGTTGTTTTGGTTCATTTTGTGGAATTTTGAAGTTTTTTAAATATTTAATGTGGTTCAACAAGTATCTTGTTGCTCAGCTGTGAAATAACTTATAAATGAAAAGACACATGGCTCAGAAATATTATAGTGACTTTTGGTAGTAGTATGTCCCATAACAAAGACAAAATTGACAACAGTCAAATTGGAATTTTGGGTAACAATAAGAAAATCCTGCTGTCTTTGGAGCGCTATAGTTTACCTCCCAGTAGAAACATCATTCAAAGTTTAACTGGGTTACAGAAGATGAACTTTGCATGTCAGAACTGGCACTTTACGGTTTCTTTTCTAAACTGGAAGTTAAGGGTCTTTTCAACTTGGCATAACTCTGACATGAAAAACTAAAAACAGGAACATGTCTGCACTCATTTTTGCCAAGAACTCAGCAGATGTTTGAAGCCACTGGTCAAGGTCGAGAGCTTGAGATCTTTTTGTAAGATATTCCAGGAAACAGGAGCGGAGTAGGAGAAGGCCCTTTTGCCAAGTTCAGTCCTCACTGAGGGAACACTGCAGGTAATAATGTCCTGAGAGCGCACGCTGTAGCTGCACTCATGCAGAGACATGTAGGAGGAGATGTATGAAGGCAGCAAACCAAGAAAAGATTTAAAGATGAAAATGTACAAGTGGGAGAGTCTGCGTGAAGTTAATGATGTCCAGTTAACCAGTGAATACAGGGTGCAGTGGTGGGTACGGTAGTAACAGCCAGTTATGAATCTTAGTGCACCGTGATAGACAGCATCCAACATCTGCAGGGTTCTTGTAGGAGCGTTCATGTAAATAATGTCACCGTAATCAATGGAGGGAAGCAAAGTCACAGATACAAGGCGTTTCCTAGCGTTCAGAGTTAGACAGGATCTGTTTCTGAAAAAGAAACCCAGTTTAACTTTCAGTTTCTTTACTAGGTTTTCCACGTGAAGCTTAAAAGAGAGATGTGAATTGATCAAGATATCCAAGTATTTGTAGGAATCAACAAACTCAATAGGGACACCATTCGAAGATCAAATCGAAGGAAGAACTGCTGGGACCAACTTCCAGTTTGAAAACATCTCTTTGGTTTTGTTTGCATTTAGAACAAGTTTGAGATGGAACAAATCTGTCTGGATGATAAAGGAGGATTGCAAAAGAAGCCTTAGCAACTGTTTTAGCTCGACAATAAACAACTGTGTCATCAGCATAGACATGTAAGGATGTATCAAGGAAGCTCTGACCTACATTACCTATGTAGATTGTAAAGAGGGTTGGTCCTAAGACACCTAAAACACCAAAGTCCATGCTCAAAAATCCAGGTATACAATCCAACATTTTTCAGTCAGGTCATCTGGACAGTTTCTTTTTTTGTGACGAAACGTTTTGCCTTTGTTCCGAAAGGCTTCAACAGTCAAGGAAATGCACAACAAAACTGATTCTTCCCCCAACAGCTTACTCCAAAGTGGAACAAACCAGTTCTGCTTGTGATAAGATGGTTTATTGGGCTGGATTATTGAGCATGGACTTTGTTGTTTTCAACCAGTTTGACAAGACTGTCAACAAGGAAGAGGGCTGGCAATGGAGTAGGGGGCGTACCAAAGAGACCATCTTATCACAAGCAGGACTGGTTTGTTCCACTTTCGAGTAAGCTGTTGGGGGCAGAATCAATTTTGTTGTGCGTTTCCTTGACTGATGAATCCTTCCGGACCGAAGGCGAAACGTTTCGGCACAAAAAAAAAAAAGAAACTGTCCAGGTGACCTGAATGAAAAATGTTGGACACCTAAAACACATTGCCTCCGGTCTGAGAGATAGTTAGAGAACCAACCAATGGTGTGAGCAGAAAAAACAATTTCTGAGATCTTGTGACATAAGATGTCATGATCCACAGTGTCAAAAATTTTATCTGGGTGTCCAAATACTTCTTTAAAAAGTCTTTAGTTGATCCAAAATGTTGTTGCCAGAGTCTTAACTGGAGTTAGTGGGAGAGATCATATCTCTCCAGTTTTAGCTTATCTCCATTGGCTCCCTGTCAAACCCAGAATTGAATTCAAAATCTTACTTGTAACCTACAAAGCTCTCAACAACCTAGCTCCATCTTATACTCAAGATCGGATTGTTCCATATTTTCCTAACAGAACGCTTCACGCTCAGACTGCAGGCTTACTTGCAGTTCCTAGAGTTTCCAAAAGCAGAATGGTAGGAAGATCTTTCAGTTATCAGGCTCCTCTCTTGTGGAACCAACTTCCAGTTTCTGTACTTAATGCTGACACATTGACCAGTTTTTAGACTGGGCTTAAGACTTTCCTTTTTGATAAATCCTTAGCGTTGGCTTGTTATGCTGCTCTTACACTACTAGAGGACAAATTGACCTCATTTCCTTAACTGATTTGCTAAAATTGAATATTTTTCGTTTGATACTATTTCTATCTTAATATGTGATTCTTGACCTGCCATTGTGTATCTGTTCCTCCTTCTTGTTCCTCTCAAACCCAGCTGGTCAAAGCAGATGACTGCTTGTTCCTGATTAGTTCTGCTAAAGGTTTCTTCCTCATGAGGGAGTTTTTCCTTTCCACTGTTGCCTTCGTGCTTGCTCAAGATGAGTTCTGTGATGGAGTTAAATTCAAAGCAGTCTGCTCCTCAGATAAATAATGTTAAATTATTATTTTTATACATGAATGTTTCTGTTCAGTGTCCCGAGATGACTGTTGTGATTTGGTGCTATATAAATAAACTGAATTGAATTACAATGATCCATACGGCAACAGCTTTAATTTTTTTTTTTTTTATCTATGTTATCTTTACATGTCTTATATAATTTATATGTCAAAGGGACGATTATATGGAACCCCTCAGGAGGTGCACTTGCTAATTAATTTGCTTGTTTTGCCTGGTTGACTGTAAGGACTTCTTCTAATCTTATTATCTTAACTATTCAAAACCTTATCGGACAGCTGCTCCCACTCCCACTGTCCGTGTTTTTACTCGTGACATTTGTTGATGGTTTGTTTGAAACACCGCCGCCTCGTATGTTTTCAGCCGCTGGTAAAGATGAAGCACTCCCCCTCGTGGGGGTCATAAAACCAGCCATTACGTCAGCTGAGCAGAAATGTGTGCGTGCGACTTTGCACGCAGGCACCTCCGTTGAAACTACAACTCCCAGAGAGCAGTTCGACTATTAACGGCAATGCTGTCTTTACGCATGCGCAGCATCACAAATTTTGCGCCTCACATTGGAAAGAACTACAAATTGTCGTGGGCATGCGCACTAGGAGCATGGAGCGGTTTAAATGAAGCGTACGTGCAAAGATGGCAGCGCAAGGCGACTTGCTCCGTGCGAAAGTAAAAGACGAACGGATGAGGGACAGCTTTGATCGATTCATCAAAGAGAAGAAGAAGAAGAAGAAGAGAGACCTGTCTCCGCCGGACGAGCGACGGAGGAGGTGCGAGAAGGAGGCGAAGAAGGTGAAGCTCCATCACCACCATCACCACATCCGCACCGAGCACCGGAGCCTTCAGCCGCATCAGCCGCAGCAAAAACCCAAAAGCCAGAACTTGAGCTCGGACAAACACGTCCTGCACGTCCACCGCGAGCACGTGCACGGACTCTGCAACGGCACCAAGAAGAGCGTGCAGCCCGCCTTCCCCCCGCAGACACCTGCGCTCTTCACTCTCACGCCCCTCAAGGTGGCCAAGGCCAGACCGCCGGAGGTTCGAGACCCGCACCGGGACAAGGAGCCCAAACTGAAGCTGAAGAAGGAAAACTCCGAGGCTAATGTGAAACACCCCGAGCTGAAGAAGAAGGGTGAGTTTTATTTTCAAATAATAACTCTCTTATTGCCATTAACGTGTGGAGAACGTCCCATTTCAATGTGAAACTGTATTTTGGGATGTGGGCCCAGCTCAAGCTTTGATTGTAGCAGTTTTTGGTTTAACACAAACTATATAATTCTAATTATTAACAGATGTGGAGTTACTAAAGAAGAAGTCTGGGCTTTATGGATCAGAACACTGTAGGAATATCAGGTCTTTACCAAGATTTAAAATTAGGTCAATAAAACAATACAATTTTAATAAATGATCTATTACACAGTGAGATTAGCAAAAGAGGTCAAAGAGGAATCCCCATGGACTATGATGTTTGCAGATGGCATTGAGATCTGTGGTGGGAACAGGCGGAAGAGAACTTGGAGAGGTGGAGGTATGCACTTTAAAGAAGAGGAATGAAAGTCAGCCGTAGTAAGACAGAGCACATGTGTGTGAATGAGAGGGAGGAGGTGGAAAAGTGGCTACAAGGAGCAGAGGTCACAAAGGTGCAGAACTTCAAGTACTTGGGGTCCACTGTCCAGAAAAATGGGGAGTGTGATAAAGAGGTGAAGAGAGTCCAGGCAGGATGGAGTGGATGTAGAAAAGTTTCAGGAGTGATTTGTGACAAAAGGGTGTCAGCAAAGGTCAAAGTAAAAGTTTACAAGACAGTTGTGAGACCAGCTATGTTGTATGGTCTGGAGACTGAGACATGGACAAAAGACAAGAGACAGAACTGGAAGTGGCAGAAATGAAGATGTTGAGGTTCTCCTTAGGAGTCACAAGGATGGATGAGATTAGGAATGAGATCATCAGAGGTACAGCACAGGTTGAACAACTGGGAGATAAAGTTAGAGAGACCAGACTGAGATGGTTTGGACATGTCCAGAGGAGGGACAGTGGATTGGACATGTCCAGAGGAGGGACAGTGGTTTGGATATGTCCAGAGGAGGGACAGTGGTTTGGACATGTCCAGAGGAGGGACAGTGGTTTGGACATGTCCAGAGGAGGGACAGTGGATTGGACATGTCCAGAGGAGGGACAGTGGGTATATTGGTAGAAGGATGTTAGAAATGCAGCTGCCAGGAAAAAGACAAAGGAGATCTATGGATGCAGTTGGAGAGGACATGGAGGTAGTTGGAGTGAGGACAGAGTGAGATGGAGCATGTGGAGTGAGGACAGAGTGAGGTGGAGCATGTGTTGAAAATAAACTCCCACTTTGTGTTCAGTAACTTGTAGCTTGCAGTTCATTACTTTTGTGGATGGTTGTGAACAGGTAGAACTGAGAAAGTTTTGCTTTTGGCACATCTTTAAGGTCTCACCACATCATTTCAGTCATGATGACAGGACTACTGCAACATCTGGATCAATTATTTTATTCATGCACTCTTGTTTAGATTGTTGTTTGGCTGCGTGACACAAATTAGACTAAGCTTCAGCTGACTGATGAATGGCTGCACATTTTCCTTTACATGTATTTACAAGTGACTATCAGCTGCCGAAGACTTGTGGCTGCAAAAGGAAGTCAAATCATCAACCCCCCTCCACCGTGCTAGTTAGTTGGTTTGAGGCATTTGTCCAGATGTTGTTTGGACTGCTGATGTCTCTGTAAAATCACAAATATCACCTGAACTGTATTACTGTTTTTGACTCCAGTAGAGTTTAGTCACGTGAGGTGCACTCGTGGGGTGGTTTCACCAACACGACTCTTTATGAGCTTCATTATTGACCAGATGTGATTAGGGAAAAGTGAAGGTGCCTAAAACACTGGCTCGCTTCACAGAGATGCAGCGACACTGAATTGTAAATGTAAATTTACATTTTTTTGACGTGCAAATTTATTGTTTTTAATAATGTTTAAAAATGTTTTAGTATGTTGTATTCAAGTTTATAGATGACGCAGATAGAGAACTGTAATGACTGTAAGGGTAATGATCATCTTTTATCATATTTCATCGTAGAGTAATCAGATTACTGTTCAGCAGTACCACAGAGCTAAATCCAACAGTCCGTCTCCTTTGTGCTCGTGTCCAGCTGTTTGAACCTGCCACTGTCTTCTACCTGCAGAGTTGAAGCTCCACAATGAAAACGGCAAGTCTCTAACGCTGGAGGAGTATCTCCTGAAGAAGAAGAAGAAGAAGAAAAGGCATCGCGAGGATGAGCATGTTGTTAAGAAGGTCCGACACATGCACACCAAAGCAGTCCAGACTGTGTGCATAGGGTTTGGAGCCGACTTCAAAGCACCCGTACGTCCCGATGCGTCTCTGCCTGCCGCCATCAAGCAGGAAGGCAGCCGCCATCTTAACAGTGACGCTGTCAACCGCTGCCCTCCCTACCTCTGTGCTCTCAAACTGGGCCATGCCGCCTTTTACTCCCATCAAGACCACTACATACGAAGCTCCTGCCTCCAGACAGGTACCAGGTACGGGCGTTTCATGCACGAGGAGAGGCAACCCAACGGAGGGGGGGTTGTTCTGCATGCCTACGCTGACGAGTTGGCTTGCCTCAGTCCGGCTGAGATGGAGTGCTTCGCCCAGGAGTTCCTGAACTTGACCTTTGCTGAAAAGCCCAAAGGTGCGGCGGTCTATGCCTTGACGGTGGTGCACAGGGCTGCGTCCTACCTGCCTGACTTCCTGGACTACTTTGCCTTCAATTTCCCCAACACACCAGTCAAAATGGAAATACTTGGCAAGAAAGACATTGAGACCACCACGATTGGCAACTTTCATGATCAGGTATGTGGAAAAAGCCGGACGTCCTCTAATTTAGGACAGGTGTTCACCAAAACCAACTTGGAAAAATATGAAATTAATTTTATTTCCTTTTAATCGAGTTGAATGAATAAAATGGTCCAAATGTTTGTTCTTTTTAGTGCAGAGAACCCAGAATCAGGTCTGACATGTTTGTTTTCAACTTAAACTGTGTTGGTGCCAGTCGCTTGATTAAGGACAGTTTCTGTCAAGATGTTTGAATTTCAGCTTTTAGCTTTGACTAAACCTGTAAAATACTTTAAAACGATTGTCTCTAAAAGAATTAGTGGACTGTGACTTTTGATGGCACATCATCTCAGGGTTGAAGAAATGTACGTGAACATTGCAAGAGGTTTTCACGTCCACAGCAATCAGGTTTTAATGAAACGAGTGAGAAAACACTGATTTTTTTATTTTTATGTATTTATCTCTAAAGCTCCGACATGCTTCCCAGTAGAAATATTGTTCAAAGTTTAATCGAGCCAAAAAAAAAAAAAAAACTACTTGGTGTGAAGGACTTGTGAGTGGTCTTCAATTTTCTTAAATGTTTTCCTTTTATTTATTTTTTATGGTATTTTAGACCTAAACCTGTAAAATTGTAAAAATGGCTTTGCTGCAATCAGAAGTTGAATTTGGTGAATTTTGACAGCGGTGCGCTGAGACGTACTCTCCCAAAGAGTCGCAACAACAGGTAAACGTAAAATGGCTGAAAGTAGCAGGTCCATCAACATATGTCAACTAGAAAAATGAACATTTTCATTACAAATGCAGTGGACGCTGAATGCTACAGGAGCTTTCTAAAATCTTTTATCAGAAGCTGAAACTGAATTGTTAAAAGTGAAACAGTTAAAAAAAATCATAAGCAAAACAACAACTGAAATCTAACATTAGCTGAACAAAAATGAAACACTTGGAAGTAGGGCTGGGTGATGTATCGAATATACTCGATGTATCGTGAGATTTTCGATTGTTAACATGGCTGTATTGCAACCATTGCAAGTATTATTAGACTTGAAAATTTGCGTACAGTACTTCTTTTTCACCGCCAACTGCGCACAGCCTCTCTGTCTTCCTCATTGAATTAAACACCCAACACCTCACCTGCGCACGCTTCCTGCTTCTCCAGGTGGGGGGGGGGGGGGGGGAGTTAACACAAGTAAACACAGGAGAAATGAGGAGCAGCTTAGCCACTGAGCAAAAAGGAAAACGGTGGATGTTATTTGGAGATGGTTTGGATTTAAATTGTCAGATGAGCAGCGGAAAGATGTTTTCTGTAGACAATGCCAAAAACAAGTCCCGTTAAAAGGTCAGAACTACGAATCTTTTTCACCATTTAAAACAGCGCTTTAAGTTAAATTATAAGCTGCAGCTCCGACTGCGTTTTCAGCTTCCTTCCCTGAAACAAACCACGGTATAAAACTCATTTAGCTGTGCTGTGCCTTATGAGAGGAACAGAGAGAGGTAGCGCCACATTAATAAATCAGCAGCTTATTGAAGACACAGTCTTTAGCAGCTAACACACGGCTAAAGTTAGCGGTCTTGTTAGCCGATAAGGACCGTGTCTTTAGTGATATGATAAGCCAGTGATGTATTAATGTGGCGCTATCCCTTACTGTAAGACTTAAAAATCTGTGTACAGTAGTTCTTCTTGATCTGCCCGTCCAACTTCACGCAGCCCCCTTCTCCCAAACATAATGTGCCTGTGTGACAAATGGGACAAAGCTTTGACTCTGAAATATTTTTTGCTAAAAAAAAAAGAGCCGGAAAAGGGTAGAGTGCCCTCTCCGGGTCAGGGAGGAGGTCCTACCCCAAGTGGAGGAGTTCAAGTATCTTGGGGTCTTGTTCACGAATGAGGGAAAAAAGGAGTGAGAGACCGATAGGCGGATAGGTGCAGCGTCTGCAGTGAAGCGGGTGCTGTACAGGTCTGTCGTGGTGAAGAGAGAGCTGAGTCAAAAGGCGAAGCTCTCAATTTACCAGTCGATCTACGTTCCTACCCTCATCTATGGTCACGAGCTTTGGGTTGTGACCGAATGAATGAGATCTCGGATACAAGCGGCTGAAACGAGTTTTCTCTGCAGGGTGTCTGGGCTCTCCCTTACAGACAGGGTGAGAAGCTCGATCATCCGGGAGGGACTCAGAGTAGAGCCGCTGCTTCTCCACGTTGAGAGGAGCCAGTTGAGGTGGCTCGGGCATCTGGTTAGGATGCCTCCTGGACGCCTCCCTGGTGAGGTGTTCCGGACACGTCCCACCGGGAGGAGGCCCAGAGGAAGACCCAGGACACGCTGGAGGGACTATGTTTCTTGGCTGGCCTGGGAACGCCTCGGGATTCCCCTGGAAGAGTTGGCCCAAGTGGCTGGGGAGAGGGAAGTCTGGGCCTCCCTACTTAGGCTGCTACCCCCGCGACCCGACCCTGGATAAGCGGAAGAAAATGGATGGATATTTTTTTGTTATTACTTTATAGAAAGAAAATAATATGAATTCATTCAATGTTTATTTATACAGGTTAGTGTCATTGAGCCGCGGGACTCATTTACTAGAGAGACCTGTTTTTAACAAAGAATGATGACAACATTAATCATAAAAGGAAGCATATAAATTGAAAAAATAAATAGAAGAAAATGATCTTCATTCGTTCAACCTTTACTTACACAGGTTTAAGAAACGAAACAAAAACAGCTACGTTGTAAAATGGTGTAAAACACTAAAAACAGGAACATGTCTGTGTTGGTTTTTACCATAAACTTTGCAGATGTTGGATTATTGTGATATATATTGTATATCGCAATTTATCTTAAAAAAAAAGAAGTCAATATTAATTTTGGTTCATATCGCCCAGCCCTACTTGGAAGTATAAAAACCAGCAAAAATAACTAAAAGGAAGAGCACAAAAGCTAAAATTGTAATGGTGGCAAAAAGCCACAACTAACAAAGAGTAGCATTAAACTAAAACAATCAAAACTGTAGCTGAAAGCTTATACAGATGATGTAACATTGTAGCAAACAGCACCACACGCTAATCTAGAGCTCTCTGCTCCTGAGCTCAAACTATTTTACGCTGAACTCCACAACAGTCTCCAAAAATAAGCCTCAAATTAATTTTGGGCTTTAGAGGAGGAAGCTGTTGTAGTGGGATCTCAGGCAGTAGCTGTCTTAACACAAAACGTCCTCTGAAATGTTCTAGTTTTATTGATTGAATGATTGATTGATCTAATAGTTGCTTTTGTTCCTCGACAGCCTCGTTACCTGTGACTGTTAAACAGGAGTGAGTCCGTCTGTATGTACTGGTTGATGTTGGATCCAGAACACTGATAGTTCAGCAGTTTTCTCTTTTGTGCAAAGACAAACTACGTAGTTTGATCATTGTGTCATTTAGGACTATGTAGAGTAATTAATACTACATTGTAGTAATTTAATGTAGCATGAAAACATTAAAACCCTTCAGCTGTGCTTTGGCAGTAAACAGCAGTGTTGCTGTTATTTCTCAGGATGTTTTTAGTTAAAAGACACTTTCAGGGTAATGGTTTACATACCAGCAGTGGCGGCTCGTGGACTTTCCACCGGGGGGGCTATGACTCCAAAATAGAAACTCCAACCTGGTGACACGTTTCCTTATCTTTTTCTTTTAAAAGACCAAGACTGGTGAATGGGCCCCAACAAATTAATTTTGTGTATCTTGATATTTTTGAGCGCATAACTGCGGACTTTTCTTTGGGCATTTATTATTATTATTATTATTATTATTATTATTATTGAGAGAGATCTCTTCATTCTATAGGTGAAATTTACTTATTTCGGAGTCTCTTTATTTTCCTACGTAAAGTCAAATCAGTGAGACGATTCAGTTTTGTTTGGTGTTAATTTTCATGAAGGAGTGTGTGAGTGGCGGATCGCGTCAAGTGGTGGTGGTGTTTTGGTGGTGTTTTTTTAAAGAGGTGGGACACAATCTTATCCATCTTAAAGCAGACACAGAGCACAGCCAAAGCCTTAAAGTCCTCCATCACTGAGCTTGGGTTAACTGCAGAGAAAATCATAAAACTGAAGACGAACAAATACTGTAATACTCTGCCTCCAAACATTTGAAATCATACCTGATGTGTACAGACGTGGCAGAAGTTTGGCAAAGCAGCTGTGGACCTGTTTGCTACGCGAGAGAACGCTCAGTGTCAACTATGGTTTTCCCTGAGCCCGCGAGACGATCCACCGCTGGGGGTGGATGCATTTGCTCACAGCCCGTGGCCCAAAACGCTTCTGTACGCGTTTTCCCCCACCTCCTCTGATTTTACGGTTCCTGAACCGAGTTCAGGAGGAGGGATTGACAGCTCTCCTGGTAGCTCTCGAGCGCGTGAACACACCATGGTTCCCAGTCCTGCAACGTCTGTTGTCGGGTCATCCGTGGAAACTGCCGTGGAGGGAGGATGCTCTCCTTCAAGCAGGAGGAGCGATCAGGAGTTATCCAGAAATAGGCCAGCACCTGTGGGTCTGGCCGCTGAGTGGTCCCACTTAGAGAGGATGGGTCTCCCTCAGGAGGTAGTGTGCACAATTCAAGATTCACGTGCTGCATCTACCACAGCTCTGTACACATCAAAGTGGACGGCTTTTCAGCGTTGGTGTACAGAGAAAGGTGTAGAGGCCACCTCATGCCCATTAGGCGGCGTGTTGTCTTTTCTACAACAGCTGATGGATAGGAAGTTGGCATTCAGTACGATTAAAACGTACGCTGCAGCCATCTCTTCCTGCCACGAAGGGTTCGGAGACAGAACAGCTTTTAATCACCCGCTGATGAAGCGGTTTCTAAAAGGTGTACAAAGACGTAGGCCTGTTTCACGCCCACTTGTTCCACAGTGGGATTTAACGCTGGTCCTGCGAGCCCTGATCAAAGCTCCGATTGAGCCTTTGGATCAGGTTTCACTTAAATTCTTGTCTCTTAAAACAGCCCTGCTGCTGGCTTTAACATCCGCTAAGAGGGTGAGTGATTTATCTGCCCTCTCTGCCGCTCCGTCATGTCTCAGAATCCAGGCTGACGGTAGTTCAGCTGATTTAAGAGCAAACCCAGCTTTTATGCCTAAAAACATCACAAGCTCTTTTAAATCAAGAGCGATATCGTTGGAGGGATTTTTCCCTCCCCCCCACAGATCAGAAGAAGAAGCATCTTTTCATCTTCTCTGTCCGGTGCGAGCGTTGACGTGTTACATAGCGCGCACAGCTGTAATGCGTCAAACTCAACAATTGTTTGTGCATTATAGAGATGCATCTGCAGGTCGCCCGTTATCCACCCAGCGCTTGTCACACTGGCTGTGTGAGGCCATTTCTGAAGCCTACAGAGCATCAGATTTAGAGCCTCCTGTCAACCTCAAAGCACACTCCACCAGGGGTATCGCATCTTCGACTGCTCTGCATAATGGTATGTCAATGCAGGACATTTGCACTGCGGCTGCATGGTCAACACCCTGCTCATTTATTCGCTTTTACCTACGTGATGTGACAGCTCGTTCCATGACACATTCTGTCCTTAGTGCTCTAACAGAATGAATATTGTTGTTTTTCATGGAACTCTGTTTAAGCTCACATCTGTCTGCATGCTTCACAGTGTGAGATGTTGTTATCAGTCACAAGTCGTGTCTGTGATTTTGGTTCTATTGTCACTAATCAGTTCATGACTATTGTTACCAATCAGTTCATTTGATCAATAATCAGTTCATTGATATTAATCTGTTTATACTGTTTAGCCATGAACCAGTTGGTTCATGCCCCCCCCCCCCCCTTCAACATCTTCTCCCCGTTGAAAGTTTTCCGGGGCGTTCATGCTTTGTCAGAACGCATAGTTACACAACATGCGTCTGTGCATGGCACATAATTACGCGATGCGTAGTTATGCACACGGGGAGCAGAGTGACAATACGTTTTTTTGGGCAAGCTTCCGCTTCTTACTGTGTTCGAATGGACCCAGTGAGGCGAGGACCACATCGGCTTCGCCCTTAACCCATCAGCGACAGCCTTAAAGGGCGAAGCCTATATGACATAGAACGTTGGTTACGTACTGTAACCCCAGATTCTATGAATATAGGCGTAGCCCTTTAAGCATCGGGCCTCACTGGCTCCTGAACAGCTGAAGAAAAAATAAGCTATTTGGGAGCAGGTTACCCGCTCTTAATGTAATTTATACGGATCGGGTGGGGCCCACACAGCAGGTGGGCGTGGATTAATTTTTTCAGTATGATGCTTGCGCATAACGGGATAAACCCATCAGCGACAGCCTTAAAGGGCTACGCCTATATTCATAGAATCTGGGGTTACAGTACGTAACCAACGTTTTGTTTGGTGTTAATTTTCATGAAGGAGTGTGTGAGTGGCGGCCTACTCAGTTTACGCTAAACCACGCCCACATACACTCACACTCGAGGCACGTTATTGTACGTCCATCCTCATTGGATGAATCCTGTGGCCGCGGGCTGACCCTGGGCTGACCAAAATTATCCCCAATGAGCTGCGAACCGAGGGGGCGTGGCCAGACGTCTGTCAGTCATTCTGAACCATGAAGGAACAGTAACAGAACGGGCTGACAGAATTTAGCCCTTTGGAACGACCCTGGGATTTTCCCCAGGCGGTTTGACACCAGTTTTGTTGTAAATTTAACAAAATGTGACATTATTTCTAAAATGTATTTTTAAGTTGTTTATTTTAACATCTTTATTGTAAATGCCGGACGGAGGGTTTAGCCCTCCGAGCCGACTGATACGAGCCGTGACTGCGTACCAGGATGATGCTGCTCCTCAGATTAGATTGCAGTGCGACATATTTTCTCTGCAGGTCTGCAACACGTCCACATGCACACCTAAACATAAACCTAACAGTCTGGCTCAGACCTGGACATGTGGAGTTTCTGCTAAACACATGTTTATTGCAGCATTTACAAAAATCTGGATTGTACCGTGTCTGTTACAGTGTAGCACATGAGCTGGTACTTAATACTAACTCTCTTTTCTGTTTGGAAGATGATGGGAGGGGGGGGGGGATTGACAACAAGACAAAAACAGTCACTAAACGGCTCAAAATCTTGTAAAAAATCATGTTTGTATGTTGCACATGCCAAGACCGTTAATGTGGGTTTGGGTTTAGGGTTTATTTTAAAATGGAGCAGACACTAAAGGTTTTCTTCTGTCCCAGGTGAACCGGACTTACTGTTCAGGAACGTACCGAGCCGGACCCATGAGGCAGATCAGCTTAGTGGGAGCCGTGGACGAGGAAGTTGGAGATTATTTCCCAGAGTTCCTGGACATGCTGGAAGAGTCGCCACTTCTCAAGGTCTGAGGAAGATGTTTTCTCCTTATTGTCCTGATCTTCTTCCCAACATGTCTGTAAACAACCAGCCCACTGGTGAGATGAAAACTTTTTAACAGAAACGCCTAAAGGAGCAGAATATTGGACTGGTAGACCAGAAACTGACAGTTCAGTTTATAAGCACATGCACTTTATTTATTTATTATTTTTTGTTTTTATTTTTCAGATATATTCTGTTTTGTAAAACGTTTAATCTGAACATAATATTCATACAAGAATGTTTAGCTGTTACTTATTAAATGCATATTTAGCTGTTTTTTATGGCAGGATAAACTGATGAATAGATAAATGTCAGGACGAATAAAAAAACTATATCAAACGTTCACAGCACTTCATGCTACCAGGCAGATTTTGTGCAGTTTATAATGTGCATTGCATTACGACAAAAAGAAAATAGAATATACCAAAACAATCCTTTAAAACTGAACTGTGTTGCTGAAAACGCAACAGGAGTCTCTTCTGTTTGCACATAAAGAAACATGTCTAAGACAATAATCAAGCTCCAAAAACTGTAAAAATCCACTTAGATATCGCAGTAAAAGAATGGAAACAATAATTAATATTTTTTAAGCACTGAGGGCCTCATGTAGAAAAGAGTACACAGTTCTCATACTGAAAGTTGGTGCAGGGATAAAATGGAAAAAATTGTTTGCACATGAAAATATTCAGATTCATCAAACCCTGCACGTGCATGTTTCTGCACGACTTTCCTTCATACGTCCCAGCGAACATGGAACTGAGCGCACATGAGTGCTGGTGTGGGTGAAGCTGTGGTTGTCACTGACTGAGGAGAACAGGGCGCTGATATGCCGGCGGTGCACTTTGGAGGCTGGGGCATTTCCATCTTTACACGTGTTTGAGAAGACAATTCCTGTAAATAAAGAGTCACTCAGGACTTGTAAAACTTAGCGCTTATTTATTAAATCGTTAATGTGAGGAAACGAGTGGCTGTGCATCAACATGGTTTCAGGTGTGGGGTAATTACATCCGAGCGTCATCTGGATGAGGCAGTCCCACACAGCTGGCACGGCTCAGGAACAACTGAAATACTTGATGTGCGTTTGGTCAGTGTGATGCTCAAAAACACGCTGCCTCCCAGTCCTACTGGTGATTTCCTCCAGCAGCACCACAGCTGCCTTGGTTCCACAGTTACACACGGACATGGACATATATTATTCATGGACATGCATGTCTTTGTCTGCACCTCGTCTTTTTGAGGAATCTTCACACGTGAGTCAACGTGTTTACGTCTACACAGTGGTGCCGGAACAGGGGGAGGGCAGGAGACCATACACACACACACCTGTCAGCTGGTCCCAGACATTAATGTAGATTGTGATAATAGCTTTAAGCTACTTTAATAAACAAAATATCTATAACAAAAAACAGACATAGCAGGTAAAGATGATGGATGGATGTCAGTCAGTCAAGTCAGTAGCCGGAAACTAATATTGCACAATCTTGAATTGCAACAATAACAGGACGGAAGTGATAAAGAATAGTAAAATGATCACAAAATATATTAATAAGATCTGCACAAACATGAACAAAATAAAAAGTGCATATATACAGCTGGCTCGGTTTGTGTCGGGTCGTCATTCAGACACAGCCTCGCTGCTTCGGCTGTGAACGTGTGAAATAAATCTGGAATTAGATCCAAGTTGCCTAAATACAAAATTATAAATGTAATTCAAACTCTGTCAAGAAGTCATTGTTTTCTACTTACACGGTTAAGAACAATATTGCTTCCAGGTTTGAGAGCAGTCGGTTCCTCCGTTGGTCTACTGTGCAGCCAGCTGAGAGCAGCACGGACCAGAGCGTGCACGTGCACCTGACACACATCAGCAGGTGTCCTCATTTTAAGTTTGTTAAAGTTAGGCCGCAGGAAAAGTGCAGCTCTGTGTAAGTCGTGGATAATGATTCTGCGCTCCAGTACTTCTGCATGTCTGTGGCACACAAAGGCAAGTGCACGTGTGTGAGGACTGTGTTGCTTCAGTTTGTCATTCCAGAGGCAAACAGTACTCGTCACCCTCCAGTTCTCTCTGTGCACGGTCAAACGGTTGGAGAAATGTGACTAAAAAGCCCAACATGTTGGGGGAGACGTTGTCCATGCGCGCCTGCCCCCCGCGAGCTTCTCACACAGCTCGTTGTAATGTCTTGCACTGACTTGAGACGGTGCTGAATCTTGTCTCGTCCATCTGGAGTACAGTCTTTGCAGCGCAGATAGGGAGTTTTTCCTTTCCACTGTTGCCACTGTGCTTGCTCAGGATGGGAGACTGCAACGAAGCCAAGATTCAACTTGTCTGCTGGATTCCTTAGAGAACTTTACTAATTGGCTTTTAAGTTTGTGAATGTTCCTGTAAAGTGCCCTGAGACAACTTTGTTGTGATTTGGTGCTATATAAATAAACTGAATTGAATCGATTGTTTTATATTTCGCACAAGAGCTTTGCACAGCCACGATGGTCTCACCTACTTCTGGAGCGTCTGCCTCTTCCTCTACAAGTAGATTAACACAGTGTTATATTGTGCATTATTATTTAGTTTGATTTCTGCTGTATGATTCATAAAACCACATTAAAGCCTGAGACCGGCCCACATATTAATCACATTATAACGGCCCGGATCGGCCCTAATCCGGGTCGGTCCGGGCCAGATTTTGGGTTCGGGTTAGAAATGACTGCTCTAGTTCCTAGTGGTAATTCAGAAGTGGCTGCAGATTACATCTACTAGCATATTTAGCTACTTTATTGACTCAGTTCTTCCGACAGTGAAGTGATGAACAACCTGAAAAGCTCTGAGGTGTATTAGTATCTACAGTAATGGTGGTGTTTTTTTAAAGAGGTGGGACACAATCTTATCCACCTTAAAGCAGACACAGAGCACAGCCAAAGCCTTAAAGTCCTCCATCACTGAGCTTGGGTTAACTGCAGAGAAAATCATAAAACTGAAGACGAACAAATACTGTAGTACTCTGCCTCCATACACTTGAAATCATACCTGATGTTCTCGTCACACTGTTTTCAATCCTTCTGAGGATCCAGCGTCTCTTCTCCAGTGGTTCATTGTAGTCCAGACACAAAGTAGGATGCAGGTTTTCCTCCGTCGGCTGTTTGTCAACAAGTGAAATGAGCTCATATACAGCGTTCTTCTAGTTCATATTTTTCAGCCACATTCTTCTTAATTCCTCATCTGTAGGTAGGAGATGGAAAACATCCAGCTTTTCACAGGAACTCTTTTTGTTTTGGGTCCGTGTTCAAAACTCTGTTGTTGTAGGCACTGATTTAGTTTGGTCTGGTTGTGCTGCAGCCGAGAACACAACAGGTACCTGAACTCAGCACGGCTATTTTAGTCAACTTTGTTGTTGTTAAATAAACGTGAACAAAACAAAAACTGTTTTATCTGCTAAACTGAATGCAGATTACTTTCAAATAAACCACAGTCCATGTTCTGCGATGCTTACTGCTACTTCCTGTGTCTGACAGGAAGTTGTACCCAGAATCATTTATACAGTAGAGCCCAGGAATAAAGTGGATAAGGGAAAGTATCTTCGCTGAAAAATGATGTCTTGGGGTGAGACATCAGGCTGGCCTGTCAGTGCTGTCAGTGGTGAGGGGGCTCTTCATGAAGTGTACGTCATCGTATGATCGTGAAAATGAAGATGGGCACATAACACCTCTGACTGAAATATTTGCCATTTCAAATTGTTTAAAGGGCTCTCACTGGTGTTTTCTAATGTTTTTATATTTATATTGTTATTATTTTCATTTTATTAATGAGCACATTGAAGGGGAGTGGTGGTCCAGAGGTTAGAGAAGGTGGGCCTGTGAGCAGAAGGTCAATGGTACGATCCCCCTGGACAGACATCAAAATGTCTGTAGGAAAGGTGAAGCACCCACACCTGCCTCCACCCTCATTTTCCCCACTTTGGGCCCTTGAGCAAGGCCCTTAACCCCCACCATCTGCTCAATAGCTCTCTGCTCCAGAGGGTTGTGGTTCTTCAGGAAGGGTAACTGGTGTAAAAACCATTGCCAATTTTCATGCAAGTTAGTTCACTGTGGTGACCCCTGAAGAAGGGAGCAGCCGAAAGAATAAAAAAAATAATGAACTCATCGACCGGCTAGACATGAGGCCCGCAGGGCGCCAGTTGAATAGCCCTGCTCTAAATTAATGTCTGCTGTGAGACGGTGCAGCAGATCAAACTCACCGTTTTCTTTCACTGGAGTTTTAAATCTGTTCAGCACTGAAAGTGGTTTCAACAACTTTCAGTCAGGTCATCTGGACAGTTTCTTTTTTTTTTGTGTGCTGAAACATTTCATCTTCAATCCAGAAGGCTTCATCAGTCAAGGAAACACAACACAAAACTGATTCTTCCCCCAACAGCTTACTCCAAAGTGGAACAAACCAGTTCTGTTGGTGCTAAGATGGTCTCTTTGGCACGGCCCCTCCTCTGGTGCCGGCCCTCTTCCTCGTCGACAGTCATGTCAGACTGGTTCCAAACCAACAAAGGGCCAGCACCGGAGGAGGGGGCATGCCAAAGACACCATCTTAGCACCAACATAACTGGTTTGTTCCACTTTGGAGTAAGCTGTTTGAGAGATGAATCAGTTTTGTGTTGTTTCCTTGACTGATGAAACCTTCTGGATTGAAGGTGAAACGTTTCAGCACAAAAAAAAAAAGAAACTGTCCAGATGACCTGACTGAAAAATGTTGGATTGTAAACCTGGATTATTGAGCATGGACTTTGTTGAAAGTGGTTTCCTTCACATGAGCCAGCAGTAGCAGGACTGTCAGAGTCAAAGAAGGCCCAGATGTTGCAACAGAGATGGTGAATGCTACATCAGTTTGAAATATGACCCCAAATAAATCTAAGAAATGGTCCACGATGTGTGTGTGATGCTCCAAAAGTGTTAACAAATACATCAAGTCAGAACTAACGGTTTGTGTTCCTCTAGTGGCCAGAAGAGGGAGACGTTTCATCTTGTGCTGAAGTTTTAATGAATGTAACTTGTTGTTGTTTTGAATTAAGTCAGTCTCATAACAAAACTAGTTTCATTCATAAAATTACTAATTAATACTATGTTGATATTCCTGCCTAAGCTGAACTCTTTGGATTTCAGAAATGTCCTCTTATTTGTCTTGAAGACTACAGACTGATCTTGCATGTCCAGTTAACGTGACCGTCTCTGTGTGATTGCAGATGACCCTGCCATGGGGAACCCTCTCCAGCCTGAAGCTGGACTGTCGCTCCCAGAGTGACGATGGTCCGATCATGTGGGTACGACCGGGTGAACAAATGGTACCCACAGCCGATATGCCCAAGTCTCCGTTCAAACGGCGCAGGTACCAAGCTGCATTGAAGAAACTTGAAAAAACATTAACTCGTCTTCAGGCTTGATAAATGGTTGTTAGAATGGGTTTACCTGTGGGAAAACTGCACTTCCAGCTTTGCAGCATCTTCCTTCTCTGGTTTTCCAGATCCATGAATGAGATAAAAAACCTGCACTACCTGCCGAGAGCCAGCGAGCCCAGAGAGGTTCTGTTTGAGGACCGGACTAAGGCTCACGCAGATCATGTAGGTCAGAGTTTTGACTGGCAGAGCACGGCTGCTGTGGGTGTCCTGAAGGCGGTGCACTTTGGAGAAGGGTACATTTCTTTAATCATAGGATGCAGCTTTGTGTTTGATGGCTGATGTTTCAGATCCGATGTGTCTGCAGCGCATGAGGCAGCTTGTTTTGTTAAATGTCTCACAGGGAGAACCGGCCTCGAGTAACAAAAGATGTGGTGTGTTTTGATGCTGGGGACTTCAGCGAGGTCGTCCAGAGGTTGCAGCTGGATCTGTATGAGCCCCCGGTTTCGCAGGTACGAGTCAGTTTTGTCTTCATTAGAAGTATTGAGCCTTTTCTGTTCAATGAAAATGTCCATTGTGTGTTTGTGTCCAGTGTGTTCAGTGGGTGGATGATGCCAAGCTTAACCAGCTGAGGAGGGAAGGCATTCGTTACATTCACACGCAGCTCTGCGACGACGACATTTACTTCATCCCGAGGAACGTCATCCACCAGTTCAAGACGGTGTCTGCAGTGTGCAGCCTGGCCTGGCACATCCGCCTCACGCAGTACGGCTCCGACTACTTGAAGGAGGCGCAGCAACCAAAAGATCTCAGCCCCACCTTGGGCCGAGTTTCCCTTTCCTCCCCTGCCAGACCCGATTCCACAGCGACCCCCTGCGTGAGACCGCAGGGAGACAGCGTCCATGGGGGCGTGGCCAAAACTAAAGAACCAGAGTTCCAGAGACCAGCAACCCCATCCAAGAAGTCTCAGCCAGCCCCCCCACAGCCCACCAAGTCTGCACACCTCCCCCACCTGTTTCCACCCACTGCCCTCTCTGAGTGCACACCTTCAGAGGAGCCCTCCCTGCCAAAATAACCCCCACCCAGCAGACCCTGTCTGTCCTCTGGGGCAGGAAGTGTGTAAAGGACAAGTCACTCGATCAGGAAGCCTTTCAACATCAAATATTTGTTACTTTTATTTAAATCTCCAAATACTGGTGTCAGTTCTAGTTTCCTGTTAGGGTGAGTAATATTTATACAGAATGTAGTTCTTTTATATTTGTCTCCTCGGTCTTGTTTAAGAATGTGTTTGATGTAAAGAAGCTTTTTTTTTTTTTTAACTCACTGTAGTTGCCATCCTCGTAAAAGTTCTTTTTTATAGTGAAATTTTTCATTTAAAAGAATGTTACTAGTCGTCTGCGTCGGTGAACCTAAAGCTTGGTTTGTATTCATTTACAGACCACGGTGAACCTTTTTTTTAAGTTAAAATAATATTTTTTTTCCCCTAAAACTGATCTTAAACTATAAGCACTTAAAACTTTTAAAATGTTCACGTTTGGGAGTTGTTTCATGAACTCGTTCTGTGTTGGAACGTTTTATACAGGAGCTTTTCTTGTTGAATTTAATTTATTTTCTTATGATCAAGCTGAAAATATAAATGGACTGTAAAAATGGTCACATGGACTGTACTTGTATAGCACCTTTCTATCTTATTTCAAGATACTCAAAGCTCTTTACAACAATCTGTGTCCTTGTTTACCCATTCATACAGCTCTATACTAGATCTCTACAAAGCTAATTGAATAAATCATTCTAAAGAGACTAATCAGAGCTTTAGATCACATTCATACACTGATGGGACACACATCAGAGGCTATGAGGGGTTCAGTGTCTTGCCCAGTGACACTTCAGCATGTGACTGCTGGTGGATTCGAACCCCCAACTCTCGCATTGGAGGACGACTGCTCTAACCACTCAGCCACAGCTGGCCCAGCTAAATGCAGGTCCTGTGGTTCTTAAAGACGAAATATTTCACTGTTGCAATAATAATCTGAATCTTTTCTTCATGTTTGGAGTTTTGTGTTAATAATTCGCTTAGTTTACATGTCTGTCATAGCGGAGTGTTACTTGGTTTTATAAAATTCAAACGTTTAGTTTTAGCGGGTAATGTCACGAGGTGACCGAGGTGCAGAGCTGGGTGGTGGTTGTGGTTATAAGTGTGTTGAATTAGGATGGTTGTCGAGTAGATTTAGGAAAAAAGTGACAGGATTTTGTCATATATAGAACAAGACTACTGTATTTTTCATGCCATAAGTCGCAGTTTTATACATGCCCTGTGACTTATACACCGAAGCGACTTCTTTATTTATAAACCATTTTCTGACTGAAATATTGAACACTACCATTTTCAGCCATTCGATGGCACTCGAGTAGTGTGGCATGCTGTTGTGTCGTAAAATGGCTACGACAGTCGTCAAGCTCGCCTGGAGCAACCGTCAAATCAGCTTCATTTCTCTGCGCCGCCCTGAATAATACCGATAATTTGACCATTAAAGAGCATTTATTAAGTAAAAGTTCAAATGAGACACCTTTGCTGTAATTTCGAGCAAACAATTGTTTTAGGTGTTTATCTTGTTAAATTCTTGTTAAAGTCCTCCCGTGCACGCTCCCATTTGGCAGCCAATCGATTTGTGGCGCAACACCGGCCCACATTTCCAGGTTGTCAGCGGTGACACATAATAGATGCGACGTATACGACGAAGAAACGTATTTATGGATTTTTCCACTTTATTTGACATATTTGGACTGATGTGACATAGGGCAGTGCGACGTGTACGGCTTTAAATACAGTAATATAATTGAACTTTTCATAATTTGTGTAGTTCAAATGACAGGCAAACAGTCTGTCAGGAGGAAAATGTAGAAAAACAAAAAGGTGCAACGATCCGGTTGCACAGTGTGTTTGTGCACACTCATACTGGAGCAGCTTTTGATTTCAGCCTTGGCAGTAACTAATCAGCAGGACACCTCCATTGTTGGTGTGAAGCACTTTTCAGTTTGCTCTGGACTCCGTCATGCTGAAAACTGTTTGTCTAATCCTGCTTTGCCATTGATAAGTGCAGCTCCACTCGGTTCTTCTCAGGTGGAGGTGATTTGCCACTCCAGTGGAGGCTGACCTGTTTCCCCACTCTGTGGGCGGGATCATAACAGGTCAGTGTGTTCGAGCCACTCGGCCCGTTGTGCTCCTTACTCACCCCATCACCGGACTTGAATTTATTTAGCTTGTCGCGGTACTGTTTATAAGTCCAGGTGTCAATCGATCATCTCCGATATCTCTCAGATCATTTTTCGTGGCTCCATCCGTCAACACGAGCAGAGAGGAAGTGGTGGTTCAGATGCATGTTGCAGTTCTGCTGGGTGGGTCGTCCAGTGACGTAGCTCTGCTGGCTGCTTACGTCATGATTGCCCCTCGAAGCAGACCGGCTTGGAACCTCAAAACAAGGTGGTCCCATTAACTGGGCTGAGTGGGGGTGGGTGCAGTGTGGCAAAGCACTTTTCATTCCAGTTGAAGAACGCAACCCAACATCATGCTGCTGCCACCACCGTGTTTCACTGTGGGCGTGGTGATGTTTTTGAACCAGGCAAACCAAACTTTTGGAATGATAAATGGACTGTACTTATATAGCACCTTTCTATCTTATTGAGACACTCAAAGTGCTTTACACTACAATCTGTGTCCTCATTTACCCATTCATACAGCACTCTACTAGATCTATACAAAGCTAATTGCACAAATCAATGTATATTCTTCATTGTGATAAATATAATTTTAGAATAATTGGACCTGCACTTGCTCTCTTCAGGTCGAGGGTGAGGTTCTGCCTCAAGTGGAGGAGTTCAAGTATCTCGGGGTTTTGTTCACGAGCGAGGGAAGAATGGAGCGTGAGATTGACCGACGGATTGGTGCAGCGTCTGCGGTATTGCAGATTCTGTGCCGGTCCGTTGTGGTGAAGAGAGCTGAGCTGTAAGGCAAAGCTCTGTTTACCGGTCGATCTACATTCCTACCTTCACCTATGGTCACGAGCTCTGGGTAGAGACTGAAAGAATGAGATCGTGGATACAGGAGGTGGAAATGAGTTTTCTCCGCAGGCTAGCTGGACTCTCCCTTAGAGACAGTGAGAGAAATTCAGTTATCGGGAGAGACTCTGAGTAGAACCACTGCTCCTCCACATTGAGAGGAGCCAGTTGAGGTGGTTCAGACATCTGATAAGGATGCTCTCTGAGCACCTCCAGAGGGAGGTGCTTCAGGCATGTTTGACTGGGAGGAGACCCCGGGGAAGACCCAGGACACACTGGAGACTACGTCTCTTGGTTGGCCTGGGAACACCTTGGAGTCCCCCCAGAAGAGCTGGAAGAGGTGGCTGTGGAAAGAGATGTCTGAAGCTCCAGGCTCAAGCTGCTGCCCCCAAGACCCAACCTCAGAACAAGATGGATGGATGGATGGATGGCTGGACGGACGGATGGTAGACCTGCACCCATGGTTTTAAAATACTTTAGTTTTTCCACTAAATGTAGCTTCATGGTCCTGGCTGCTCATCTTTGTAAGAAAATTATTTCATCACTTGACGTGACAGGAAGTCTGAAGGTTGTAATAAAGCCAAAAGTTTTATAAATATTTTATTCTTTGCACATTTTTCACCTGTGCTCCGTATAAAGTTTAAAAAAAGATTGATCACGTTTTTTTAACATCATAAAATCCAGATGTTTTAACGGGGGGCATGCGTAGACTTTATATCCACTGTATGAAATACGGTGTATAAATAGTGTTAAAGCCGCCTTCATGCAGGTCGGCTGACATTTACTAAAGAGGCCTTCTTCGTCTCGTCTTCTAAAAGTAGCAGCTGTGAAGGAAGTTGTTTCGCCTCCTTTGCTCCGACCACGTCTCAGTGCCTTGAGCTGAACGTAAAGCTGAAAGCTTTGTCTGTTGGTGACTAAAGTAGGGAACTCACGTTTTATGCCACCTGGTAGCAAATATTCTCTCCAAAATATAATCTGATTTAAAGTTGTCTTGTGGATTTTCCTTGTAAATATAACTTCCATGTGGTTTAGATAATGCTGACAATAGACCGTTGTCAGAATGCTTTTATATCAGCCTTTTGTCCTTTTTGTTCTGAGTTACTTCTTTCATGTTTGTACTGAGAATTTTTTTTAATGATTTGTCATTTGGCTGATAATTTACTGTAGAGGTTAGAATCCCAGTGCGATTCATTCAGGCTGAAAATGAGGGAAAAAAAATACAAATACCCTTCGATGGTTTTAATAAATAAGTGCATTTGCAACATATGCATATTAGTATGCCTGACATTTACTCATCATCTTTGCTGAATGTTGCTAAACATTTGGATGTGTGACACATGGCATAAACGACCGAAATGTCACGTATGGTTCACTAAATGATCCACAAAGTGACGGTAAAGAAAGAATTGCCCACAGTTTTATTTTGTGCTGAAAGTGGTCAGGCGTGCGTGTCTAACTGGACCTCACGAACTGAGTTCAACAGAAACAAGATCAAACTTCCTGCCACCCGTCTGTTCTGAGCAGCTAAAGGTCACCGGAGTCCATGTCTTGATTCAGAGGCCCTGCTGACTAGTTTCTTATCTGCTTTGCTCCAGTTATACAGAAAGTGAACACTTCCTGTGTGTCTCCAGAAGGAGGCGCTGCTGCACCACTTGGTCACAGCCTTCATGGCTTTTCCCTTCATCTTTACACATTTGTAATAAACTTGCTCTTCCCAAGGCAGTGAGCATCTTGTGTGTCCGTATGTCCATCAGTTGTGGTGCTTATTTTCTGTAAACTGGTGGTGGTGGATGGTGGTGTCATTTATTTCCAGGTCTCTGGATATGTCCTGGGGCCTTTTGGTTTTCCAAAGCGATTCTTAAATCCTGTGAAGAACAAACATGTTGTAATTAAAGGATCATTGAAAATTATAAGCTTTGAAGTAGGAAAACATTATCTGGTCCTCATCAGCTCTTAAAACCTCCATGTAAACAAAAATACAGATTACTATGGGGTGCCGTTTTTTAAAGTTGCACAGTCAAAAATTAATATCAATATTTTGGTTTATTTAGCTTTCAATAAGAAAAAAATAGGGGTTATTTTTTTCAAAGTTATATTTTCACCATGTTATTCATACATTTATAAATGTTATAGTTCCCAACTAAATATTTAATTTACAATCTAAATATTTAGGTATAAATTAAATATTTAATTTACAAGATAAACATTTAGTTTACCAACTAAATATTTAACTTTCAAGTTGAGTATCATTTGTAAATGATGGGTAAATGAGGCACAGATTGTAGTGTAAAGCACTTTGAGTATCTTGAAATAAGATAGAAAGGCGCTACATAAGTACAGTCCATTTACCATTTAAACTAAATGTTTATCTTGTAAATTAAATATTCAATTTACACCTAAATATTTAGTTCGTAAACTAAATGTTTATCTTGTAAATTAAATATTTAGTTGGGAACTATGACGTTTATTAATGTATGAATAACATGGTGAAAATATGACTTTGAAAAAAATAACCCCTATTTTTCTTATTAAAACTTAAATAAACAAAAATATTGATGTTATTTTTTGACTGTGCAACTTTACAAATGGCATCCCATAGATTTCATCATGTAAATACAGATTTAATGAAATATATAGCAAAATTGTAAAGTTGTGTGTGAATTGTGCCCCACGATGAACAGCTTGTAGAACGTTTAGTGGCATCAGCTCTTTCAGGTTCATTCTCTTTGGGATTTTGTTTCTCACAAGGTTGAAGATAAATTTTGGCCTTTTTCTTTACAACAACGCTTCAGTTCGTTGAGGTTTGCAGACATTTGTTTTTGCCCCCCAGTCATTGCACATCTTGTGGCGTCTCTGAGCAGGACACCCTATCCCCAATTGCTACCCCAGCGCCTTCAATAGCTGCACACTGTTCCAACTGAGGGTGGATGGGTTAAATGGAAAGAGCCAATTTCACCATTGTATGGAACTATACAATGACGACAGTACATAACATTATTATTATTATTATTATTATTATTATTATTATTATTATGGTCCCACAACAACATTTCAATCAGGTTGAAATCTGGAGTTTCACTAATTATTTCAAAATCTAGATTATTTTCTTTTACAGCCATGTTGTAGATTTGTTGCTGTGTTTGGGATCAGTGTCCTGTTGGCCGAGCTTCAGCTGTCGGACGTCCTCACATTTGACACGAGAATCCTTTGGTCAGAGAAGTTCATGGTCCATTCAATGACAGCACAGTGCTCAACTCAAGTCCAAATCTTAACCTTTCTACCACTGCATGGCAGTACATGGTGTTTGAGTGTCACCAAACATGCTGCTTTGCATTATGGGTAAACTTATCTTTACTTTGCTCTGATTTGTCCTTAGACCATTACTCCAGAAGTTATACGGTTCATCCATCCATCATCTTTACTCGCTTATTTCTTTTCAGGTCGCAGGGGTCACTGGTGCCCATATCCAGCAGTCGCTGTGCAAGAGGCGGGGGACACCTGGACAGGTTACAAACCCATCACAAGGACAGAGACAAACAATTTGTCTCAGTTTGTCTCAAGTGAACTTTGCAAACTTAAAGCCTGGTTTATAAACCACGAGAATCCTGATACACGCTCAATAATCCAGGTAGAAAAATCTAAAAAAGTTAAATCTGGTCCTCTGGACATTCAAAAAAAACAAAACAAAGCAAAACAACAAAAAATGTAGAAACGTTTCGTCTCTCATCCGAGAGACTTCCTCAGTCTGAGGTGCTGTATTCAGCTCAGTCTCTTAAATAGCACCTTCTCAGAGTGGATCAACCAGTTTGCTGCTGACAACCAAAACCAGCTGCTCACATGCTCAAGAAGGACCATCAGCCTAACAATGGATCATTAGCACACTGATGGCTGTTTACTATTCACAGAGGGCTGAGTGATACTAACAATAACAGCATTGTAATTGCCCCCTCTTACAATGCTGTGATTGCTAGTGAACCTTCCAACATCAGTAGAGAGACTCTAGCAAGGACAAAAACATCATCATTCTCCCAGCAGACAAAGGAAGGTGCACAGTGATTTTGAACCAGAAAGGCTATCATGAGAAAGTTATGACACTCCTTAGTGACTTAAACACTTATGAACCTCTGAAAAGAGATCCAGGAAGTGGTTACAAGAAGAAGTTAATAGATTGCCTGAAATTTTTGGAGCAGGACAAGGCTATTGACCGTTTTCTGTACCACAGACTGTACCCAGGGGAGGCCACACCCAGTCTGTATGGTTTACCTAAAATCCACAAACAAGGTGTACCTTTAAGAACAATTGTTAGCATGATTAACTCTGTCACTTACAATGTTTCCAAATATCTGGCGTCTGTACTCATCCCTTTAGTTGGCAGCTCAGAACACCACATACAGGACACCATGGACTTTGTGGATAAGGTGAGGGATGTCATCATGGAGACTGATGAAACAATGGTCTCTTTTGATGTCACATCACTCTTTACGTGCATTCCTGTTGATGATGCAGTAGAGGTGGTCAGTTTAAAATTAACATCAGACACCACTCTGAGCAGCAGGACCACGCTTTCCACAGAACAACTGTGTCAACTCTTGAAACTGTGCCTGCAGTCAACCTACTTCACATATGGGGAGCAATATTATAGGCAGAAACATGGGTGTGCTATGGGGTCTCCAGTTTCTCCTATTGTTGCCAACCTGTACATGGAGGAGGTAGAAAAGAGAGCCTTGACGTCCTTTTCAGGGACACCACCAAGTCATTGGTTCAGGTATGTTGACGACACCTGGGTTAAAATTAAATCTCAGGAAGTCCAACATTTTACTGACCACATCAACTCTGTGGATAAATACATCAAGTTCACACGAGAAGATGTAAAAAATGGCAGGTTGGCTTTCTTGGACTGTGAGGTCTCAGTCTCTGATAGAGGACATTTGCAAACTGAGGTGTACCGCAAACCCACCCACACAGACCAGTATTTGCAGTTTGACTCCCATCACCCTTTGGAGCACAAGTTAGGAGTCATCAGGACTCTGTATCACAGAGCAGACAGCATCCCCACTAGCTCGGGAGCCAGGCAGAAGGAGAAATCCTACACAAAACAGGCTCTAGAGCAATGTGGATATCCTAACTGGGCCTTCCTGAAAG